AGAGATGTGTATAAGAGACAGCCTCTATACCTTGGTTTTCTTACTGCTGACAACACAATGTCGGGAAATGATGCAATCTCGATTACTCCAAGTTTCCTCTTCAATATTCCTCCGTTTATTCGTATGAAATCGAAAGACACCGCGTCGCTGTTTTGTGCTGTATTATTTTTTTTACACGAATATTGAAAATATTCTTTGACTGTTGAAATCGAAGAGTAGAGGCCTGACGGTAAGTAGAACATCTGAAGAATCTCAACTGATCTCTGTCCAGGTCCCAGGGGAATCCTGTACGTTCTGGATGATTCGATGTTGTTCACATTATATAGATAAGTAACGTGTACTGGCAAAACGAATGGTGAACGAAAGTCAAATGAAGAGCGAATTTGTCCTTCGGATTCGTACTCTCGGATCCAAAAGTAAATAAACTAACTCCGCAATTTGTATTAAATACGTAAATCAATGGAGAGGCGCGGTATACAACTTAACAGCTGAAATTTATGATAATCATTATTTAAGAATTATAGGCGCTCCACAAAGGATTTCCACTTCCGGTTAAAAGATTTTTAGGTCGACTGCATCGACATTTGTGCATCGTACCTAAAACTAAAATACTAAATGTATCGGAAAATTATCGGAAGAACTTATTTTGATAAGAAATAACAAGACAAAGTTCCGATTTAAAGTACACGTAATCAATGTCGTTCGAGCTCCAATTTTATGGCGAAATTGTTCAGAAAATTATTTATAATAAATTTTACACTCCTTACTTACATTCGAATGGACGTGACTCCGACGAACAGGTAGATCAATTTACTCTGATTGGTTGGAAATCGGAAGTATCGGAACGTACTGAGTGATCCATATAAATAGACCCAAAGGTCCATCTTCGATAAAATGAGCGTCTTCTAATATTCGACTTTGAATCATGCGATTATTCGTATGTTTGCAATTGAAGGAAGTAAGAGGGTTTAAATAAAATTTTTAATTTTCAGAATTTTGAGTAAACCCTTACCCTAATATTTAACTTACAATTTTTCGAAACACTCAAAAAATTGTGAGTTATCAAAAGACGAAAGTTTTCTCAACTCTATTCTTATTATATATATCTTTTGAAAATATTAATAATTATTATTATTGATGATATATTAAATATATATATATAATTTAAAAAATTTTTATTTTAAGATATAATTAAAAATTTAAAAAATAATAAAGAAGGTGATTGACCAATTGACCATTTCTACCGACGTATATACATACATTAACTTCAATTTCGGTTTAACTTATTTTTTCTCTAAGAATTGTAAGAATTAAAAAAAGATAAAAAAATAAATTAAATCGAAATTGAAGTTAATCTACATTAGTAGAAATAGATTAATGTTCAATTTTCTGTAAAGCTAATGAGTATAAAAGTATCTATTATTTTTTTTCTGAGAGCTTTATTGTCACGTGAATAACAATAAAACGACTGACAATGGCAGCCGTTAAAGAGCTGCCTATTATAAACGTTTATACAAATTGAATTTCTATTCGTAACTACTTGATCATCATCGTGACGCGAGACATATGATGAGAAAAATGTTAGAAATTGAAAGAAAAGTACATACAAAAGCGCCACTATCCCACGCCTTACTTTACAAAAAAGGTCTGCTCGGAGTGACATTAGCTCAGTGTGTTTCGTGTAAGGGTTGTTTTCGGCTTTGCAGCATCAGATGCGTTTAGGAAGCTAAACGGTGTATCTAAACAAAGTGACAAGTTTATACAACAAAAGCCTCTCTCTTATCTTTTTAATTGTAATTTGTATATTAAATTAAAATCCAGGTAAATCAATAAAAGAAAAACGAACATTTTTTTTATATACCAATACCAATTATACTCACTACTGGTCAACTAATTAAATGTACAGTTACATAATTACATAAATCACATTATTACAAATACGTTCAATTAAGTATTTTACAATTAAAATTCTATTCTTTGATTAAAATTTCGTCTATATTGTAAATATGTAAACTGAATAAGAAGTGATAACTTAACTGCTAATAAATCTCTTCGATAGAAAAATTTTAAATCATTATCATTTAATTGACTTTGTTTGATAATAAAGAAATGATTCATAAATAAAATAATATCTCAAAGTAAAACAAAGTAAATAATCACATAATGATTGCAACCATTGAATTTCCGAAACGCATCCTGTTTATGTCGACTATATGTTTCGCTAAAGTTACATATTTTATTTCTATAATGCAGTTCCGTTCGGTCGGTTTTTACCTGCAGTCGTGCGTTTCGAAATGTCTCTTGCACTTCTTCCCTCAATCGTTTCGGAATGGCCAACGAAATCGGTCTTCGTTATCTATATTTTTGTTTTTAGTAGAAAAAGTACACAGTATGGTACAAGCGACTCTTGCAGCGGTGCAAGTTTCAAAGCATTTTTTTTTCAAGAACATCTGTGTTTTTTTTTGTACAAAGGATTCGATCTTTGATTCGTTGGAATTTTTAGAACGTTAGGAGCTTTTTGATAATTCATATTGTATAAGCAACGTTTCCATGTTTTAAGCGCACTGGCACGGTTTTGGATTATTACGATAAATACTTCCGAATAATATAGCTACGAATAAAATGACAAAAGTAAATTGAGTCTTATCGTGTACTTCGAATATCATTCGAAAGACGGTGGAAGAAAGAGGAGCCGATGGGGCATGCTCATAACATGCCGAAACCCTTCGAATAATTGATTGCTTTCAGTAAGCGATCTTGCAATTTCTCTATTGTACTGTAATCCGGCAACAATAACACATTGAAGCATGTGTGCGCTATTGGCAATCTGAAAATATAACGGGTCAATAAAATGAGTATCTAGGAAATATAATATCGGCGTAATGTAAAACATTAATGTAAACACGTTACCTGTCAGAATCAGGGCCGTGTCTGGCGATGACCATCTTGAGTCTCGAGAGACCGCCGACAGGTACACGATCGCTACCTGTGGTGAATTGAAGAAGCCTCCGTTGACTCTCCGGTGGTAGGGAGTGCGCTACGCGCCAAAAGTTACGCACCGCTTCGCTGTCCACCGTGTAGCCGCCCTCGTACTCCGTGGCCGCTTCCAACTCGGCGAAATCGAATATTTTGCTTCCGCAAACCAGCTACGCGTACGTCAAACAACTTCGTTAGAACAATCGTTCGTATAACGTAACTTATTCACGCCGTATTAAATTGAGATTGATACCTGCTCGATCTCTTCGGGTCTGAAGAGTAACGCGAGCGGACTCTCATCCGTAACCATTTGGAAGCCACGTCTGAAAGCGTTGAATTGTCTCTCCACGGATTTGTTAAGCAAGAAATCCGCATAGAGATCGGCAAACTCCTTCTTGTTTTCCTGCGTGACGTACAGCTCGTCACCGTTCTCCTTGAGCTCGTGGAACGATAAGGATCCGAACACGTCTCTGTAGAAACGATGAGCGATGAGAAAATGCAATAAGATTCTGTGCGCGCAATTCGCTGATTATCGAAGACACACCTGTAACCCACTCGGAAAGTTTGCATAAATGTCTCCGGCATGTCGTCTCCCGTGTACTCCATTAATTCTTTCATTGTTCGATACAGGGTTGGACTCCAGTCTTCCAAATCCGGAAAACCGCCTTTCCTGCCTAGTAATTTTCTATAGACCACCATTGGGAAGCGTACATCCAGAATTACATTGTTATAAATTGCTAAGCCAATAACAATTCCTATTAATGTGAATTGCGCGTCACTTTCAAACGATGTCGGATTGAACCATGTCATTTGCGTGTCTTCCTAAAATAACATAGGGACCATATTTTATAAAACTAAATTACAAACACACACGTGAAAAGGCTTTAAACACCAATGTTTATTTCTACCAATGTAGATTAATTTTAACCTCGGCTCAATTCACTGTTTAACTTTTTCTAATTATTAGAACTGGATATATTGGTAGAAATAAAGTTAAGACCCGGTTTCACAATTCACGGTTAACTCGATTTAACCGAAGTTCAACTCACTTTATCTTTTTCTAATCTAAGAATTGGAAAAAGTTAAACAGTAAGTTAAACTGAGTTTAAAATTATATAAATTTTATATTTGTGGAACCGGGCCTAAAACGAAGAAAGAGCTTATATAAGCTTACTTAGTCGTACAAATTCTCACCTGAGTGGTGAACATGCCAAAATCAGGATTAAATATCTCCTCAACGACTAACTGAAAGAATTCCTTAGATACACCGCCTTCGTCGACACCTTGCTCTCCCTCGAATTCGACAACCAATTGCTTTTTTAAATCAGACGGATTTTCCATCGCCACCATTTCCAATTCCACCAATGCGTCGTCTATCAAATGGTCTCTTCGCACCTGCGTTTAAATGAAAAATAAAATTTACACCGATTTGCCGAAGCTCAATCACTTCGTCGTCGTCTTCAAGTCGACAAACCTTTAATCTGAGATATGGATTGGTAGGTTGCCCGACGACGGTCTGCAAAAAGCTCATACGTCGCTCGCTATACATTCTGATACGATTATCGTAATACAAGCCCAGAGTTTTAGTGGCCGGCGTAAGAATGAAAGCGTAATTCATGAAGCTAAATTTCATTGGCTCTTCGCTCTTGTAATAAGCGAAATCCTTGTCCATCTCTATGGCATCGCTAAGTGGCTCATTGTAAAAATCGGTAAACGGTATGAAAGGTTTACGTGCATCCAACGCAGTAATTCCCAATTCCGTCGCTAGTGGATCCTGAAATGTGTATTGCTTTTATTTATATCAATCAAAAAATAACATTAAAAAATATTAAAAATAATATAAAAATAAAGTTAAGGCTAATTAGCAGAGACGATTACCTGAGGGATCTGGCCTGATCGTGAAGTGCTCTTGTCGCTACTAGCCGATTCACCTTCATCGTTCAAAGTTAGCTCAGGAGGGTCTAACTCACCGGCCAACATACTCGCGTAATACAGAATCTTCATAACTTTCGTAGGTGCGGTGATAGTGTCCGCATCTTGGACGCAAAAGTCACGTGTCCAAGGTCCGCCGATTACCTGTAATGTTAATAACCGAATGTTCTGTGATCAGAAAATAAATTAATACAAGTTACTTTGATATCTATGCAGGTGAAATAAGTGCTATCGACAAAGTCGAGAGGAACGCACCTTGACAGTTATGAGTTCTTGAAGCGCTTGCAGAAGACTTGGCAGCCGCGATTTGCAATGCTTGGCCCATACGCGCGCCAGCTTGGCCTGGGCCAATACCGGTACGCAGCTCAACGCTTTGCACAGCATGTGGAGTGCCAATTCCAGGTATTCGCTATTCCCGAGCATCGGAATTTCAAAAACAATGAGAAATACATTTAACAAACTATCCATGCTGTCCCAGCGTACCATACGAAATACTCTCAAGTCTAATTCTATATCGTCCGCCAAAGAGACTAGCGCATTGACCAGGGCTGACTCGAACACCTCACCTAATTAAGCAAAAAAAAAAAAGATTTATTTAATTTAGTTCGGCAAGGATATCGATATGTGAAGCAGTATTCAAAACAAAATCATATTTTTTTTTCACACCTGGCAGAGACCAAAGTGCTTCAAAAGCTCGACGGACCGATGGTAAATCAACACTAGTGTCGTCATTATTAGGAACTGTAGGTGATGGATCGCTACTATCCTCCTCCTTATCCTCCCCCTGTAGAGATCGTACCGCTTCTTTATTCAAATCAGCGGGCGGCCTTAACAGAGTGTCCGGTGCTCGTTCGAGAAGTGCCGTCAACGGAGAATTGCTCTTCTCAGTTTTTTGAAAACTGAGACTTAACGCCTTCCCAGAAGAGAACACCTCTCCCAAGGTACGAATTAATAAAGCGTATGAATCTTTTGCTTTACATTTTTCTATAATATCCAGAAGCTTAGCTTCTGTAAGATATGGCGCTTGTTTTCCTGAATGAAAAAACGAGAATGTGTTAAATTACAAAGAAACCACGCTCGTGTGTGAAATTAACAAACAGAAAATGTTTATATCAAGGTTAAGAAACGAGCAAATTAAGAATTTATTTTGGTAAAGAAATTTTTTAAATTTTACAACCAATTCTTTTTAATTTGCTCGTTTTTTGGCCTTGATATAAACATTTTCTATTTGAGAATGTGTTATTTGCTTCCACAAACGATTGGACATTTGCATTCTTGGCGTATTGTCTGATAATTAGATGTTTTGTTTCGAGAGAATGGAAGCTTTGCTAAATCAATCGAATACCTTCATCGGAGCTTGTAGAATTAACACTTTTTACAGGTAGACTCTTAGCTAATGACGTTTGTCCAGGCTCTATAGTAGTTCGAGCGACTTTACTGGGTTGTGTACCATCACACAGTCTTGCTTCTTGCGAGAACAATTGTATCGCTTGAGCGGCTGCTTGATTTGGCGTAAGATTAGTTACCTGAAGCACAAAATCGAATATAGAGAGAGAGAGAGTGCATGAATAAAATATATAATTTCTACTACAGTTCGCCATAGGCGAACGGCTGAATTCTAAAGTCATACCTTGCCACTGGAGGCACAATGCTGATTGTCACAATGGGGATTTCCGCATCCGTCCGTGAGTTGGTAAAAGTAACGTTCGATGAGCTTCTTTGCAGCTGCGCGCTTCATGTCGCTGCAAGGGCTCTCAGCTCCTACCCTACAAACGTGACAGTAAAATATGTGTAAATTAGATTCTCGATACTTTTCTACTGCAAGTGAATGTATTTCTACTCATAGTCTACATTTTTAAATTTTCACAAAACTGCCTAAATATTAGAGATGTTCAATGACACTCTTTTCAAGAAACTCTTATGCCTGTCTAGTGCTAAAAGTAAATCAGTCATTGAATTTTATAATAAGATTGCCTGAGACTAGTTCGAGTGAGGAAGAAAACGATTGAAGAACAAAGATCGCCCGAATATTTCACGAGATTCGTTCGACGCGAACGCAAAAACGACGGCGAAAAAGACTCGTGCCGAAACCATCCCGAGTATTATATATATTATCGTACGGCCTTCTCTAAAGACGAATCGATGTCGTTGCACCAAAACAAAGGCGCTAATAATAGACGGCCTCGCGGATTTTCGCGATCTCGCATGACAAATGTAAAGGTATATACTACGTTGCTGCAAACAAAATCTTTCGTTACGAACGAGGGTGATAATGAGCGAGAGGCGATGAGGGAGAATAGAGACGGAGAACGAGAGATCGCGTCGAGGAAGGCGAGAAGCCTCCGCGCGCACAATTTTTTTTTTCAATCGCGATCGTGTCGATTTTAATCGCGCGTACTTTATTGCATATTTCGACGAAATCGGGGATATTCAGAGAACCGCGAGCGTTCCGTCTCTCGATCTGCGACTTTCGGCGCGGTCCGCCGCTGTCAAACGCGCGCGACGACACGCGCTGACTCCGCGCGAGAGCGGAGAGCGGGCGCGTTTCTTTCTTTCTTTTTTTTTTCGCCCCCCTTTTCCCTCTGTTTCAGTGGGCGACGCTAAGGACGCAACCAACTCTCGTGACACCTGGAAACGTGATCTTCTCCAGGGTCCCCCTGACTCTTGGCGCTCATAGACCGTAAATCGTTGGAATTTTGCCTGTTTTGCTCGGCAACGGGAAGCTGAGCCGTGGCCACCGCGAGGCTCGTCGTCGTCGTCGCCGCCGCCGCACGGCCGCACTCCGCCGATCCAGATAATCGTCGCGCGCAGCGCGAATTATTATCGTCGTCGTCGTCGTCTACGCGAAACACGCCGGGCCACGTCGCGCTCTACTCGGCACTCGGCACCACCACCAGGTCGCGTAATTTCCGCGGAGCCGCGAACGTACTCGCTCGCTTCTACCGCCTTGTGTGAGTCCTTTAAACGTCGCGTGCAGTCGACGAGCGACCGAGTTCTCTTCACACAGACAAGGGACACTTTTCGATACGTCAGAGACACGGAGCGGAGGAACGGGGGGGGGGGTGAGCGGAGGCCGGGGAGAGAGAGAGAGAGAGAGAGAAGAAAGAAGTGGGGAGGGGGAGACAGAGACGGACGGGAGTTCAAAGGCGATAGAAAAACACAGGGAAGCGAAAATGGGAGAACCGAAGCACGCGGAACAGAGAGAGAGGGCAGATGGATGGAATTACAGGCGAGAAGAGGAGAGCGAGTGTGCGAAATCGAGAGAAAGAGATTCGAGAGATCCTCTCAGGTCTCAGGGAGGCTGGTTTAGAGGTTAGGGAAATGGACGGCTGTGCGAGTATCGCCCCGATTTAACGCGACGGAGACTCGACGCGCGACTCCGATCGGCTCGCGAGAACCAGAGAGAGAGTTCGCTCGTGGAAAAGAGCCACCGTTGACTCTTTTGCTTTCTATGCCCACTGACGTCTACCGTTTGCGATCAGCATCAACGCGGGGGCTGAGGGGGGGAGGACGAGTTATCGCGGTGGCGGCTGGTGCACGGGCCGCACGGCGACTCTCGATTAATCGCGCGGCAAATATCGACGGAGAACTCTCGATTTGCGATAGCGATTCAAATTTTGCGCAATGCATACGGCGCGCCATATGGGCGTATGCATTTTACGCAGGATGTAATCATAACGCATGTATCGCTCAAGTAGATTTTTTTAAAACTATATATATAATTTTAATACATATTTTATGTATTATTACATATTCGTATAATTGTTATATTATATATTGGTCGGATATTTCTGTAAGAGGCGCGACGATTAAGAGGGATCGTCATATTGAATTATGAAAGACGGGTCACTTTCTCTTTAAAATATACACGTGAAATAATTTTTTGTATACATTTGTTTTTATTTTTAATATGTCGAGATTTAAGAGTAAAATATTACACAACACACTTGTTGTGGAAACAAGAAGTTTCATTGGAATCTATGTTTCATTTTTTATGTTCGTATATAAAGTAAAAGATCTTTCAAATACAATCTTTTTTCATTTTTCACATTGAATCTTCTATTAATTATTAAATAGATTTTATGATTTTACTGCTATATCTGATTAAGATATCAAAGATTATTTATGAATATAAATATCATATTTATTGTAATTATAATTAAAAATATAGATTACAAGTTAAAATTATAAATATCATATTTATAAATACATTTTCTAAAGAATAAATTTATTTGGATTAATTCTTACAAAAAATAAAGAAATTTATTTTAATATCTTGTAGAAAGAAATAAAGTATTAATTATTTAATAACATTTTTAATTATTTTTAATAATTTTCTATTTTTCAAAGTCTATAATTATTGCGAACGTCATTAACGTTCATTGTTAAAATAATTGCAAATTAAAAAAAATGGACTACTAAAAAAATCATTTACCATTTATACTAATATCTTATTTATATATGTTTTTTGTTTAAATATTTCTTCAAGAAGTGTGCATGTACGTGACTTGCATGAATACTCACATTGTTTTATTAGGATTAAATCGTTGCCATCAGCCCATTGATCCGTGGAGACCTTTAACGTTTCCCATCGCGCTTGAAATCCTCGCAAAAAAATATACGCTTGGAAAAAGATCCGTCAGATCATGCACTTTGTTTGAACAAGTATCAAATTAATGGAAGGAAATTTTCTACGCGCATTGATGCGAAAGTAATGCGTCAAAAAGGGATGAATTACGAGAGTATCAATTTGCACGCAGAGAAAATCTCATTGCGCATTGTTCGAGAGAACAACGGTTTCTATTGACGATAGCGGTGACAATTACTCATCGGAAATCAATGCGTCGACGACTTTCTGCGAGAAATCAAAGTAAACTATGTAACAGTATAACGTTATGTAAGATGATTAATAGAAAAGCAAATTGCACCGATCTTCTTTTGTTCCAGCATTCCAGAGTTGCGAAAAGTTTTTATTCAAATTGCAATAAACAATTAGTAATTATAATTAATTTTTTAATTATTGATTAATGATTAGTTTTATTAATTATGATTTATGTTGTACGTATTTATATGTATTACCGAAAATCTTAATAAGTTCCTCACGTTGCATTGGAAGAAAATTAAAACTCAACTTTCAACTGGTAAAAAGAGCTTCAAATCTTCTCCTTTCTTGTTCTCATTATTAATATTAATTGAAAATGTTTAAAAAAGTCTGCAGGTGTCATGAATGACGAAGAAGCACATAGCGATCGAAAGTCAAAGGTGATGTCAGATGATCCTGCTTTTTGTGCCCCTGTGCCTCCCACGCGATCTACCCTCGCAAGAATAGATGTAAATGTCTCTCTCTCTCTCTCTCTCTCGTCGAGGATAAACCTGAGCCAACCATTGACGAGGGGAAGTGAGAGAGAGAATTTAGAGTAGAGCTAAGCACAGCAGCTCGCAGGAGCAGTAATATCGATCGATCCGGAGTGGAGTTCGAGGCTCGACAGGTCTTGGCCTGCCCAGTGCGGGGGCGAAAAAAGAGGGGGAGGGGAGAGCGAGAGAGGGAGAGAGAGCAAACAGGAGAGCGGGAAGAACGGGGAGAGAGTGTCGAGCACTGGGACGAGGTTTCCGGAGCGGCGAAGAGGGTCGCATGTAGCAAAAGCTTCCCTATATAATCTGACAGACGGTCAGTTGCCCGGGCACGGATCGTTCTCGCGCCGCCCGGATCAGTCTTTCACATACGTTAGCTTCTGTTCGTTCGCTCCTGTTCGTTCGCCGCCGATTCTCTCTCCTCTTTTCCTTTTCCAGTTCCTGCTCTTTTTTTTCTTCTTCCCCTTCCTCTTCTTTCCTCTGTACTCGTCCCGTCCTCTCGCAACTCGGGTCTGCCGCGTGTCGGCCTTGAAATTTAGTGACAGTGCAAGTCTGACCTTGGCGAGCTGCTTTGTCAAGGCTGACAGGTAGGTCAATGCTGTCGGCGGTCATCAGCTGATACCCGGCGGCACTCTGCTCCTCGACACGTTTAAACAGATATGTATGTATGAACGCGTATGGTTTTGGGTAAAAGAGACATGAAAAATATTATCTTATCGTTAGATTGGAACTTCTCGTCTTAGATCTGTAAATGCTAATTTAAAAGTTATAAATCAATCGTAAGTTAGATAAATTTTATTATAATTAATTTTTTGCGCTAGATTTCTAAAAATATTATTTATAAGATTTCAAATATATATAATTAAATTTTTACATAAATCTAAAGATTTATCGTTCAGAATTTAAAATTATATCAGATTGTAACAGGTCATTTATCTAAATATATTTCAACAATTTCGGTGACAGTGTCCTTTAAATAATAAGTCTTGTTTGGGATTATTTAATTTTTTTTTGCGAATAAGACAGAGGAATAATTTATTTTAATTTAATTGAAGAAAGAAGAATTTATATGCATGAATCAGTTGCGTAATTGAATGAATGTGCATATATGTGGTATTAACACAATAATAACAATTAGAGTATGAATAAGCATTTAGCATATAGCGAATTTCAACATAGTGATGACGAAAAAATTAGGATGTATATAAGTGTATCGCAAGAAAGTGCGCTTGCTTTCTTATATTGTTTCCTTGCAAAATCCAACTTAATATACGGGCCAATTTAATACTGAAAATTACTTATTTTATATATTAAATGTACTGAGCAACATGCTTCAAATAAATAATTAATTAATTACCTTCCAATATTAAATTACTGTTCACGATGAAATAAAAAAATTTTTTTATTTTTAACGGTAGATGGAAGTAATAAGAAACATCACTAAAGTAGTATTTAATAAAGAAACTTGTACACAGGACGAGAAATGGACGCGTAGGAAATTCGTTCACCAAATTAATAATTAATATTGAATTGAACTTTAACGGAGGCCACTTGATAGTCATGAGAAAACGAAGAAACAATTAATATCACGGAGATCGTATACACGGGACCATATATATCCGTAGAGAATGGAGGAATCATCTTCAAAAATACGTCCTTATGTGGACTGGGATGTAAGCAAAATTCACATCGATTTGATAAACACTTATCGAATGATATATGTAACACGCGAACGCATGTATCGTGTAAAAGCGTTCAAACGGAATTGTTAAGTGATTTTTTTTTTGTAGAACGAAGACAAGTACTCAGTAGCGAATAGTCAAGCGCCCTTGCAGGGCGGCGAAGACGAGCACCCGGAACGCGGTACCTGGACGGGAAAATTCGATTTCCTTTTGTCTCTTCTGGGATACAGCGTAGGCCTCGGAAATGTCTGGAGATTTCCGTATCTTTGCTACTCGAACGGCGGCGGTGCTTTCCTAATACCGTTCACTGTGATGCTTATTATCGCCGGATTGCCACTTATGTTCATGGAACTTTCCTTAGGTGATCAATGAAGGAAATCAATGAAATTCGAGATTTATAATGCGGTTATCATAATTACATATCTTTTTTTTTATTCTGCAGGACAATACGCTAGTCTCGGACCGGTAGCGGCTTACAAGCAGTTTTGTCCTCTGCTTCGCGGCTTAGGATACGGAATGGTCCTTGTTAGTTTCGTTGTCATGCTCTATTATAATTTAATCATCGCCTGGACGCTGTATTACATGTTTGCGTCGGTCGTTGGTAAATAATAATATTAATATATCCTAATGTGCATAATCTTATTAGCTTTAGAACAACGTATTACATATGCTACTGCAATGTGTAATTTGTAAAAGCTCGTAAAAGAATAATAAATTTGAAAACAGATGTATGTGCACAGTTTGCGAGTATATTAAAAATTAGAACTACGGTTTTTTCAAAAACTTAATTGATTAAATGAGTTCTTCGTAGGTGGTTGGGAGTTACCCTGGAGCAAATGCGAGAAAGAATGGAGCACCAAGGATTGCTTCATGCCGGACGCTGCCGAGGCTTGTGTCTCTCAAAACGCTTTTTACTTCAAAGGAAAATGCCTCAATGCGAGTCAAATGACTGCGATGGGCCTGATCATCGAAAACATAACTGGCGCTATCAAAAGACCGCCGGCCGAGGAATACTTTCAGTAATGACATACGCTGTGTAGATCACCATGATTTTTTTTAAATTGCGTTTCTATTTAATCTATGATCACGGATCTCATCGTTAATTTATTAATTTAATTCTACATTTGTATATTTCATTAATTTTTTCTTGTTAATTATTTTCTTTGCATTGGCTTTGTATTGTATTGAGTTATGACGCTGTTAATAAAAAAAAAAGTATATATAATTTTAGTTTAAAAATAATTTGCAATATTATATCGAATTTATAATTTGCTGTTTTTAACTATGTTGCCAGAAGCAACAATATTAAACGAGAAATAAAAGACAGAAAATTTTTTTGCGTCAGCAATCATGTTTTGGGGATCAGCAGCGGGATCGAGGAAACTGGGTCGATTCGACCGTCCATAGCGGCTTGTCTTTTCCTGGCGTGGATCATTGTGTTTCTTTGCTTGAGCAAAGGCGTGCAAAGCTCAGGCAAAGTCGTGTACTTCACCGCTCTTTTTCCATATGTTGTTCTAGTACGTCCACAATTTTGACGTATGTCATTAATTTAGCGTGTTTTAAACAAATGTAATTCTTTTTCGTAGATAGCCCTTTTTATTCGTGGAATTTTACTTCCTGGTGCTAACGAGGGTGTACTCTTCTATCTGACTCCTGACTGGAGGAGACTGATGTCCGCCAAGGTATGGGGAGACGCCGCCGTTCAGATCTTCTTCGCTTTGAGTCCAGCCTGGGGTGGCCTGATCACTTTGAGTTCGTACAACAAGTTCACCAACAACTGCTACAAGGACTCGTTAATCGTGGCGATCAGCAACATCGGAACTTCCTTCTTCGCCGGCCTGGTGATCTTCTCGGTAATTGGCTTCCTTGCTCACGAGCTCGACGTGCCGGTGGCGTCGGTGGTTGACGAAGGCGCTGGGTTGGCATTTATCGTTTATCCAGAGGTGATTATTAATTTTGAGTCTCGAGCAAATCAATCTCGCATTCCCGTTCCCATTGATATCAGCATCATATAAATAAAAATAATCAGACAAGATAAGTGACATCTTTCTATCGATTTATATTAGTGGGCTATACATTGGCGTTCGAGTATATGTTTCAGGATCACCGACGATTCTTTGCCTGACTATGCGTAGGTTGTAGCTCGTCTGCCGGTCGCGCCTGTCTGGTCGCTGCTGTTCTTCATCATGTTGCTCACTTTGGGCCTCGATTCACAGTTCGCTCTCATGGAGACCGTCACCACGGCGATACTCGATGGTATTCCGTCATTGAGAAACTACAAGGTCTGGGTCGTTCTAGGAGTTGCGGTGGTCGGCTATGCCGGTGGTATTATTTACACCACCAATGTGAGTCTTGAACGATTTAGTTTCATTGATTATAGATTTTTAACACATATATATTATCGTAATAATCATCTCTCGTTAGGCTGGTATGTATTGGCTGCAGTTAATGGACAAATACGCGGCCAATTGGTCCGTCCTGCTGATCGCCATAAGTGAATGTATTCTTGTGGCATGGGTGTACGGCGCGGATCGCTTTTTGGATGATGTTCAACAGATGATCGGGCCCCGAGGTCGTATATGGAGATTTTTCTGGACGTGGATGTGGAAACTCATCACGCCCGCGGCGCTATTCTTCATCCTCTGTTTTAATTGGGTGGAGTACGAGCCGCTCAAGTACGGAGCTTACATTTATCCGAAATGGGCGGACGTATTAGGCTGGGTTATCAGTATGCTTCCCGTTTTAGTAATTGTCGGACTGGCTATAGTAAGTTAAAATGTTTTCTTTATCTAAACATTACACAGCATGTTGACGAATATGCATTGTTACACGAAAAATAACGAATACAGGATCAACTAAAAGGACGGCGTCGGCGATTATCCTACGATGATGATGATGATGATGACGATGATGACGATGACGACGACGACGACGACGACAATTATGACGACGATGACGATGAGCTTGACGATGGGGGATCTTGCCGAAAAACGGGAAAAGAAAAGGGCAAGGATAAGAACGTATGGAATCGCGTAAAGATATTGTTACAGCCAACATCCAAGTGGGGACCGCAAAATTCTTTAACAACTTCTAGAACTCTGATGGCTTCGTTAGGTAATTAATTTTTTGATAAATCGAATGTCAATGCCTTTGAACGCTGAATTATATAATGTTTTTCTTAATGACTTAAAGCAACCCCGGGAACGTACGACTCGGTGCGGGATACGATTATTCTGGTGAACGGTCAGCCGATGATGGTGCAACCACCCAGCATCATTCCACCTGCTCAGAAACTCCCCGGACCATCGATCCTTAAGAATTCTAGTAAAACTGATCTGATTACCTCGCAGCAAGTGTGACACGACGTTCGTTTTACGTCCGATGACGAGACCTCACAGGAATCACGCTGAAGACACGCTGTGTCCAACGTAAAGTAAGCTTTTAACATGAACAAGCATTCTAATAACGTTGAGTGTTTGTACTTTGAAATTTGTACTTTGTCAATCGCGATTGCTAACGGCGCGAATTATTTTATTATTCGATTCGATTTACGAAAAGCACATAAAATTTGGAATTTTTGTGGAATCAAGTTTTATCAAAAATTATATAACTTTTATTGGGACATGATCTTCACGATCAATTGCAACAAATGAAGGAAAGGATTTTTTATCAACTATATACACAGTCTACTAATATTTATAAAAATAATTCTTTATCCTTTTTGCTATAAATCAAATTGCAATACTTTTATGATAAAAAAGCTGATATCTATCAAATAAATCTCGACAGTGGAGAGCTCAAATAAATAGAATAGTTGATATTAAAATTTTAATGACGAAGGGATGTTACAAAATATAAAATGTCGAGGTTTAAAAGAGGTTGTAAAAAATGATATATAGACAGTATTATTTTTTAGAGAACGAATATTTTATCTACATATATAATGGAAGGTATCACACACAAAAAAACATGATTGTTTTATAGAAAAATATTTATTTTTGGAAATCGGTTAATTATTTTTATTGGGAAAGAAAATATACATACGTAACTTATGCGTGAAAACACGTTTATAACTATATTTAGCACTAGAACAAAAAGTTTAAGAAAGAGAAATGGGCAGTGTGAAGAGACAAAGAAGCCGAGATATACTCGATGTATATCAATCTCTTGAAGATATTGTAAATATAATTTGGAGATATATTGTAGACACAAATATATTGTGGATATATCTTGTAGATATGTCGGCGTTCAAAGAGATATTACATACGCATCTCACATACATATAGATACGCATCTCTTTGACGTGCATCAGATATTCAGGGAATAGATTAGACATTTTTGGATACTCTGAAGAAAGAAACGGTAGCGAAAAATAGAGACAAGGAAAATCGCGAGTAATCGTTGTTGTAACGACCGAATTTATCGAGAAGAATAGTACAGATTTATTGACGCGTAATAACGCGTGTTTAACGGGAAAAATTACGATATCTTATTTTTTATGGAAAGAATTTCTTGGATAATCTAGCAAAAAATTGCGTTTCAATCTATCACAGTTACAATTGCAAAGAAACTCTATTATTGATGCCTTGATCACTTTTTCAAGGAAAACTTGACTTCGGACAAGTGAAAAACTTCGTAAAATAAAGAGAGTGGCCTTAAGTTCTCTGAAAGAAATTTTGCATACGAAGACGCGAATATTTACATGCCAATTGTCCCAAGCGCGTCTTGCTTGGAACAGTCTTCACGTAATACGCCATGTCGGAAAGTCAGTATTTTAAATCTTCGCACTTACATTTTTAGTGCGAGATATTTTTGAGACTTTTATCTCGTCCGAATCTTACAAACTATAAGCGGATCAAACTCGTAAGTCGTTTTTGATGCGCCGTCTATGAATTGGCAGTAATGGCAGTAGATGAATCGAATATCAAAAACGTTTGTTTGAAACAAGAATCAAAATTTAACTGCAAAATTAGGAATTCAAAGACTTTAGTGGTAGAAATAATAGGAAATTTAAATGACTGGAATACTAAGAAAAAAATTCGTGACACTTCCTTTTAAACTACTGCGAATGCAGATCGGGTTGTAGAATCGACAGTCATGAACGTACCTCAGATAAATATTAACGAGCAGTCATGAACGTACTTCAGAAATTAGCCAGCTCGAAGCGGGAAGGTGACACGAGAAAAATGTATTTTAGATAAGCCACGTTTCGAGATTGCAGAATTATTAAAGTTAGAGCCAATGTTATATTATAAAAGTGCCGTTAGATATACATATGTATATGACTGCAGCTTTCCTCCTCGGGCAAATGTTCCGCCAAGCCAGTTAAATGTTCAATAACTTTAATGTTTGTCAGGCCTTGTGCTAGTTATCTAATATATGTGACGCGACTTCCCACACGATGATTGTAAAAATATGTAATACTTCGCCGTGTAAAATAATGACAATTAATATAACGTTAAGTCACTTAATGCTGGTTTTCGTGTCGGCCATGAAGTCAGATGGTTGACTGTTCTAATAATAAGTAGGATTAAGAGCAGTGACGCATTGACGAATCGTAACGACAAAGCGGTAACATGATGATATCACAGCGATCGAATCGGGCGTTACTTAGAACAATTTCCCCGAATAAGTCTCCGCGTTGTAAATTGTATGATACTTTGCACCTTACATTTCTAAACAAAATTTTAATTTCAAACAAAGTTTTTTTAATGTTCAATTGAAAGAAACACACAGAACGAAGTAAAAGATATTTTGTTTTGTCATTTAATTATAAATATTTAACAAAGACTCTGTCATCGCATGGTGGTTACAGTTCTAATGTCGTCACTCGGCAAGTAGAGCGAACAGTACAAATTAACGAGTCCCAGTTGCATGTGATAGAAAAAGAACGCTTCCTTTTAAGAGAAGTTTTTCTTCATAAAAGAAAGTTAGTGAAAAAGAAAGTTTCTTCGAAATAAAAAAATATATAGAATATTTGCGGTGGGTCCGCACAAAAAAACGAAAAATGTTTTTTTCTTCTTCAAATATTTTCTGCAAAAAAAAAACAATTTTATTGTAGAACCAAGGTACTGTCTTAAATGTAGAACATATACTGAACGGTGTACAATCAGGATACAATGCCTTGAGTGAATATATACAGCATTAGGAAAAAGACTTATATAGTATGAAGAAATACAGAGACGATATATATCGTACATATGTCCCGAATAAATAAACAAATTAGAAGACGTATGTATATGTATTGACGTACTGTTGTATAATTTAAGTAGTCTGATTGAAATAAAAAGAAAATAGAGAGAGGCTGGATCCTCTCGAGATGAAAGTTATTAACAATAATATATATAGCTCAGAATAATGATGCGTGTTAACATATGTGTGAGTTATACATATATGTATATTATATATGTATAATTAGTATATAAAGGCATTAAAAAATATCAAATAAATATGTTGTGTTATTATATATGTACATTGCATTATGAAAAAGATATATATGTATGTTACGAGCACATCCACAAATGTACATATGCGCGCGTGCGCATATATGTAAATTTGTAATGTGTAATAAATGCATGATGCGTGTATAATCAATAAAGTTGGCATTTATGGTTAACAGTGTGCTGTCAGATCTCTGATGGTTTTCGCCATGATTGATTTCTATTACAACGATATCTCTCCTTCTTCAATTCGTACAAACAACATCCCTGACGGGGACGTGCCGATGTAAGGCATAACATCCAAATACTGGCATTAATTCTATGATCTTTGGCTTTTCGCTCGCTCCGCTGGGTATTCTACAAGAGTTGCGTCGAGAACAAGCCATTCGCCGAAATTGAATTTCGTAATCGTTAGTTCTTCAAGCAAAACTTAATCGTAGTTTAATAACTGCGAAGGCAATTTAATTTTTTGTCAATCGACCGATTAAAAGCATTTTACTTCTGGACTACAACTCTCTCGCACGTCGACCGCGTCCCGACCGCGTGTGTGATCTTAACTTTCAGACTTCAGTCAGACTTCGTTGACGAGGCCTTACGACTCGCTCGAGGGCGGTCCGAATACGACCCTGCACCTCGAAACGGCGCCGAGTATCGGTTTCACGAGAATCAAGACACCGGCGAAGAACAACGATGCGAATACCAAGTCTCTTCCGGTCTCGGTACCGGAATGGTGCCACCAATGGGAGTAGGTTCCGTTGATGAGAGTAGCCAGCAAAAGAATGGTCATACCGATGCCGCCGCAAGCGTGAGCGACCTTGATGAGTATCGGCCTTACGCGTGGATATATCCAGACGGTGTTGTTCGCCAGGATTCCGAAAGCGGCGACCAAGACGGACAGGATGATCGTCGTTAGGCCCAGCTGCGAGTGAGTCGTGGTGAAATGGAACTTGTTATTGTTAACTTTGTTAACGATGATGATGATAAAACCAATCCCGAGTAAGGTCAGGCCAATCGTGTGTAGAATCCAGTGAATTGTCACTCTGTTACGCCTGGGTAGCTTCCAAGAGATGTACGCCTCACCGGAAACGCTGAAGACAGCCTCGGTGATCAGAAGGCCGACCTTTGCCACGAGACAGAGAAACATTAGAAATTATTAAATTTCAATCTTAGCAAAGACGAAAAAATTAAACACGTTGTTTAATTATTACATTTTGATTAATTAATTATTATCATAATAATGATGATAATAAAAAACATCTATAATCTGTAACAATATATTAATTGACTAAAAATTCAACTGTTTCGATGAAATATTTTTTCCGATGGAATATTCAAATGGTTTTCTTTCATACTTACCCCAACAGACATACAAATGGGATGCCAAGAAAAGAAACTGTAGTTCCTAAAGGCAACTACTAGGATGTATATTACTGGAGCCACGAGTAGAAAATGCGTCAGTATCGAGAAGCCGAGCGTTATGGCGCTCGGCGGTCCCTTGTTACCTTCGTTACTCATGTCGAGAAGGTAGCGATGATATCTCTTTGGTACCTGAAGAAATAAAGAGATTTTGTCAGTAAGCGATATATGAAATGGATCTGAACAGATCGGCATAGGAATGTTTTTTGAAGTAAAAAAAAACAAAAGAACAAATGAATAAATATTTGTAAAAATTTAAATTAAATTGCAACGCATTGAAGACTTAACAAGTCTTTTCAGTGTTTTCCTAAATTTTTTCTGTCAAATTTCACTTGAAATTTTCACGTAACTTTGGTATTTTACTAAATATTTTATCCGGTGTAACAGTATGTGCGGAGAGAAATGATTCTCTGAAAATTGCTGCAGCCAGGGTTCGGAAGAAATTCAATCCGGCACTGTCGGGTAAGCGTAAAGTTCTATGGACGCTGTCCATATCTTTTTACGTAATAATTCCGTGTAATTATTACGAGGCTCTGAATGCACGATGCGTGATTCATCTTTAATTGTACGACGCGATTTCTCGCGTCTTCGAATGTATCAGTCTTCAGTCTTGTTATCTCTTAGTTTATCTGACCAACTTGATCTTTGTGTTTGCACATGTACGCGACTGCATGATTAAGTAAATGCATAAACAAAGAAGAAAATAAATATGTACGTATTCATAAATATCAATGATAAACTTTTTATCACAGTCGTGTATGTATAAAATTTATTTTCGTATTACATATTCCGGAGTACGATATCTTTTTCATCTTTATATTTTATATGTAAGCTGTAAGGAAGATATAAAAATATTTCTGCCAATTGTTGTCTGTATCTTAAAAAGTAATTTTAAAATGATCTTAATCATACATTACTATAATTATGTTTATGTAAATAAACTAATCGACATGTGATTAATACATACATTAAATTAACGAAAGGAATTATATACTTGCAGAAAACATTACTGTTCCCTAAACGAAAATGTGCAATGAGCTAAATGCTCGCCGTCTTAAGCAAGAAAAATTATTATAGTGGAGCGATAAAATTCAGACCCTCGTAACAATTCGTTTCGTTAATGACACGATAACCAACGATAAGAAATGCGCGTTGAGTAACTACGCAAAAATGTCACTCGGTCTACCGTTCATTGTGGAATGTAAAAATGCATTTACAGTGCCCCTGCATTCCGACGATTATGTAAATATAAAAATTACAGCAATAGTCGCGAAAAAAGGAACTTGTAAAGGAATTTTTTTCCACGGAATTCTTTTTGAAGAAAACACTCCGTTAAAATTATTGATTTTCTCTTATATATACAGCAGATAAAATATTCTAATTTCTTTTTTCGAGAATAAGTCTGTCATTATTTAAAATAATAGTAAATTTTCTTAAGCAAAAACGCACATTTTTCGGCATTATAAAACACAAAAAGAAATTTTTAACTCTTAAAAGATCAGTATTAAATTGATTAAAACTTATTTATTATCCTACCTACAGAAAGGACATTTGCGTGACAATATGTTTTATCTGTAAATCAGTATCGTTAAAAATAGCAAACATCATCGCAAAAATATACGATATTAAATTAATACATATCTATTATTAATTATAACAATGTACATAATTTCTATAATTTGTAGCATGTTACCTCAATCATAACAAGCATTTATCTCATAATGATATACTTTTCAGATATTTGCACTTTTCGCGCGAAGTATAACCTTCACTTAAATTATTTCATGCAGCATTTATTGTGAGAGATCTTGTATGTACATAAAAAATGTTACAAGCATTCAAGTAAGTAGTTTTGTTGTATTCTTTATATTAAATATTAATATATCTAATTAAATATTGATATATCTAATAAAATTTTAATCGGTTAATCATTTTTATATCAACAGCTCTAATAAAGTATTTTTATATTAGCAGTGTTAATTAATTAAATCACTCTGTTAAATACAAAATTAATTTGATATTAAACGAAGAATATGTTACAATTTACTCGTATTTATTAATTTGTTTGAAAATTTTATTAAAGTTTACATGATCACTTACAAAACTTGACTATTAACTTTGATATTTAATTTATCAAAAGTAGGTACTCGAAAGATACGTTTCGAGTATGTATCTCGAGATAACATTAAATAATCCTCTTCCTTTCTCTTTCTCTCTCTTTCATTCTTCTTTTTTATATAAAATAATTCAACAGTACAACAATTATAATAGCATTATATTCACCATGATTTTTGGCACAAGGACGGAAGACGCGCTTACGCTACAACAATTCTTACGAGAAAGTCGTCGAGCAATCACCTCGTTGACTCACCGTAAACACCTTTCGACTGCTACATAAAGTCGTCGCAGGTCTTTATGTAGCAAAAAGAGGAAGCGTCGTCGATAAAAATCGCCCAAACGGGAACCCTCTCTCGAGCCTCTTTCGATCGGTGTGGAGCAGCTAATCGAGCAAACACACGCGCGCGCAACCGTGTCCGTGACGCGACTGAGCGTCTGGAATATGGCGATCTAGGCTGTGGATCCATGGATCATTATTGTGGCGTCGCTGGCCGATGAGGAAACATCGCGCGGCCGGCCTTGCAGTGTCGGAGCGTATGGCGCGTAGCTGTTGCCGGACCGTTTGCCTCGTATACGAGTATCCCATTACGGGATCACGGCCCTCCCGTTCGGACATGAAACAAAAATTTTTAAAAAAATCTCATCTCTACTATCGTAATACTTCACGTGAAATTTTACAGCACCTGGGCAACGGTCGGCCGAATGAGAAAATTACGGAAAATCATTGTTCTCTCCGTTCGTCGGGCCCGAAAAAGAGGCGGTTCGACGTTGCGGCCTTGGCGCAAGCGGCCGCAATGCACGCACACGTTTCGATCGCGTAAGCGCTCGTAAGGCGCAAGTATGCACGCTCCATAAATTTACAAGGCATCCGCATAATGCAGCCGAAGAAGCCGCGAGGGAACTCGCGCGCGGGAAACGCTTTATAACTCGTTATCAGATGTATCTCGGAACTTTTTGTGGCGTTGAAGATGAGAGAGAGAGAGAGAGAGAGAGAGAGAGAGAGAGAGAGAGACTGGAGGATTTTCTCTCTAGAGTATCTACTGGCAAATCAGCTACCTCTTTCATGCAAAAGATTTATTACATTCGTAAAATTCGATTATGTATTTAGCAATTAAAATGAACAATTAAAACTTTTTCTCACGACACTCTTAAATGGTAAATTTATACATATAGTTTTATTGTAACTCGTGCGTAATTTTTCACGTAGAGACGATGGGTCGTGTGTCTATCTACTTGTATTTCTAAATTTACTGATGTCGTGAGCAGCGATTAATTAGGAACACAATTAGAGACCGCCCGATAACGTATTGCTATCTACAGAACGTAGCATTACTTCTGTTTGCTGAGAATTAAAGTAAGTTTGAGTTTGAATGATAATGGATACTCCTTTCCTTCGAATTCAATCAAGATAAATGTATTTTTCTGTATAATATGGCATCTCCTTTGTACATTTTCCCATAAAACATGCTAGTCAATAAATATTAATATTTCTTAAATCTGCGCGTATATTACAAAGACGTCAAGTTTGACATTTGCTAACTGTAAACATAATGTTCTCGGGTCGGAGAATGGTTTCTGGGATATAGGAGAACGATTTCTCTTTTTTTTTTTAATAAAATTTGCAACACGATTAGATAGAAAGCTATCTGACAGATTCGAGCAGTGTCACGCGTATCTGCGCACGTGCAACGATGCGTGTAGCGATAGTGACAGCTGTGTTGTGTGTTGATTGTTGGTCGTCGTGACGACTGATGACGACGGCGACGGCGACCCGGGCCGCCGCTCTTTACGTGACTGCACGAAACGTTCGTGTGATTTAAATACCTCGTGTTTTAAAACCGCGTTTTATTGTAAAACCGAGCGAGATGGTGGTCGCCGATAAACGCAGGCGTCTGATAGTCTCCACGGCGGGGCACTTCTTCAGCGCGTCCGTGCAGCATGACGAGGAGGACGTCGAGGATCGCGAGATCATCGATCGTTTCCTGGAGCAGTCGTCGTGCCGAACCCTATGCGCCAGGCCGGTCGACGCCGATCGGAATCAAGTCCGTTTGAAACTGAGCACCGAATTGCCCGCCGGTAGAAACACGTTGGTCTTCTTTAAGGTAGAGACCCTTCTTCGCAAAAAAAAAAGAAACATACTTTAATTATACATGGAAAGAACGATTTTGCTGGATTCAGATCTGAAAATAATTTTGTTAGAATTAACTCAAAAATGATAAGCATTGCTGTAAAACGTTTTGATGTTTTAGCAATCAGTTTGATTTTCCAATATTTGATAGTCGAACAAGAATTATTTTCATATCTGTATCCTGCAGAAAAATTTTTAGATCTTCCAGCAAAATCGTTCTTTCCGCGTAACAATTGACGAGTAAATGCAGGAGATTGTAATGAAATAGGGTTTTATATTAAGACGAGATGTTTATCAATTGATTTTTCTCGAAAAACTTTTTTCTTGAACTCGATTAAAGCTGTTCTTCCGTACAATTCTCTCACAATCAGTTACCGTTGTTTCCTAATCGCCGTCATGCCGGCTGACAAGCGTGACTCTTTGTTGACGATAGAAAGCATCTTCTAGAAAGGTGCGAGTCAACACGCCGTTTACATTTGCTGACGATGCGAAAATTCGATGCAGGTGACAGCGGCGGCGGTCACGGAGGAGAACTTTCACGACGTGGTCCAGGTGGCTTCCACCGGCTGCGGGGACGGATCGGTGCTGATCGAGGGGCTCCGCCAGGTATGGGGGCCGACCCTTCGCTCGTCCGGTTTAAGTACATCTTGTTTGAAGAACTTGGAGGAGAGACTGCTCAACTCCGGATTTTCGATTACCGTCGCGGAGGAGGAGGAATTCTGGAAGCGGAGACGGGACGAGGCCAAACGGTCGCACGAGAGAACGAATTGCGAAGAAGCTGCCAAGTCGGTGAAGAACATCAAGGTCGAACTCGAAAGCGCCGCGGTGTCGAGGTGCATTGTTATGCCATTGTATATAATACCGAATATATCTTTACTATCTTATACAATTACTTATTCTTCCGTTTTCGACACACAGAGATGGATTAATCGCTGTGGAGGAAGCTTGCGAAGCTATTTCCGTATTCGTGGACGATTTGTGGAAGTTAGGGGGACCGGCGTATACCGAGGATCGTATGAAATCGTTTCTCGATGTAATCGGGAACGAAGTGGTCCAGCTGATACAAAATTATCTCGGTGCGGTACGTCGACTCAAGTTTCTATTTTTATATCATCCGTAATCAACAGAGTTAGGACGTTTCAAAATCGCTTATAAATCTTCAATTAGTCTTCAAAATGTCTAGAATAATATAAAAGTAGTATAATAATTAAAACATAGAAGTTTTTATTAATAAATCAAACTTATGATTTGAGAATGTATCAAGGGAGCTCCGATTTTTTTTTGTAACGCTTAAACGATTGTTTCTTCTTATGTGTTACGACGATTTATGGAATGCCATTAGGTCGACACGACCGACGCTCGCGCAAAGGACGAAGCAATCGCACTCGGAGCGACCGTATGCGAAAAGTGGGCGAACGCAACGCAGAAGCTGACGGAGCTTTTCTGGCCGCATCATTCGCTCCATCCTTGGCGCGGACCGATCTTCGTACCCGAGAGATGCTCGAAGCTCGGCAGAAGCCTCAGGTAGGCGTACGACGCATACGAAACCGGCGTGGAATGTATGTATAATAACGTAGCCGCGATCTTCAGGCAGATGTCCGAGTTACGTGCGCAGCATCGCCAATTAAGCAGGCTTCTGACTCCGAGCGAGAGATCTGGTCTCGGTATCGAGAAATTGCTCCAGACGTTCGATGACACGAGATGTATGTGCAGCTTTGCTTTAGAAATCTTTTACAGTCATTTTCTGATGAAGCGTTAGGCAACATGAAAAATCACGAAGCAGTCAAACTGATTTTTTTTTCTCTTTAAAAGTCTCGCAGGTATCGCAGGAACTAAAATTGACAAAGCAGTTTTTGTACTCGCAATTTTTTATAAGTTATTCAATGGATAATAATTGAAACAATTACAAATAGACATTATGATTTAATGAATTGTTAAATAGTTTGCATTAATTTGGTACTTGAAATAAGTAAATGTTAATAATCACAACTAACTTAGTTGCTTTGGGCGATGACGAACGGGACGATGAATGGAATAGACTGAGGCGTAAGATCGAGGAAGGCTTGATGCCAGCTGAAGAACGCGTTGCTCAGAAGCTGAAGGACCGTATCGCCGATGCTGATACTCCGAGCGCTCTGGTAGCTGAATTTGAGAGATACAGCGAGCTGATGAAGAGGGAAGGGCTTAAGAGAGCGTTACGCGGAGAACGAGAATCCCTGCTTGCAGCGTATCGCGATCTAATCGGTAGAGTACACTCTTAAGCACTATAAAATGTTCTCCATATCACTACGTTAGCCATACAAATATGTCAAGAGAACAAGCTGATTGAAATATGGATATAATATGAATATAAATTCTTCTATATAAAAGTTAATGTTTAATTTTCAGATTTATTTATGTTATCTAATATGAGAAATGTAAATAATATACCCATTCGAAGCTCGACTCATCTCATTCTCTCTTAATTCTTATCGCATCCTCCAAACACACTCTCGCTACCAATGAATCATCCTTAATTGAATTTAAAAACGTATTTATTTCGTTTTTCCATTTGCTTTGCCATTCATCATCTATTAGTTGGCTGACGATATACTGCGACTGTAAAGATTATTTCGCTAATTAGTACGGAAATCGCAAAATATTACAGAAACTTCTCCATTTAGTTTAATTCACTAGATCGTGAACATAATGGAAGAAATATTAGGAAAAGGAATAAATATAATAATTTTATTTTATCGGAAATAGTGTATTCCATACGTTTCGTGGCGTCGCAGTCATTCGCGAGACAAGTCGCGGAAAATTAACATCGTTTCTTATAGTTTTTGAGACGAGAAATCCAATGGTGTTAATTAAAATTACGTCATATATCGGGAAACACATCAAAAATTGAGTTTAAAATCGGAAAAATGCTTGGCGTCACAGTCATTCGCGAGACAAATCACTGCATGTGTCGATGATATGCAGTGTGTACATTATGTTTTTTCATTACAAATAAAGAATTTGTTATAAAAATGCTATATTTAATAGTAAAAATATCAGACGCAACGGTAAGTCCCGTGCGCTTGCACGAACATGTGACTTCCCGTAATTTAATGTAATTTTAATTAGCACCATTGGATTCCTCGTCTCAAAAACTATAAGAAACGATGTCAATTTTACTTTCTGCGAGCGAGAACACCCTTTTTCCAAAATGTATTATTCATGATTTTACGGGTATCAAATTTTATATATGTTGAAAATTATGAAACGATTTAATTTGTCTGCGGATCTGACAAGGTTTAACCAGAGATAATATAATGATAAAATTATTTATTTATGCGTCGCGATTAACCACGCGTTGCAATTGGCCACGTTGCGATTACCCACGTCGCGATTGCCTCTCCAAACAAATTTCGTATATTGGAAAAAGTCGGTTTTAAATGAATTGAGAAAAAAAAATATCAGAAATTATTCGAGACTAAATAATGTTCACTCAATTTTTTTTTAATAATAAAAAATATTAAAAATAACATTAACGACAATAATAACTAAATATCCACATTTCATCTTACCGCCCCCCCTAAAACAACTCTTTGGATCTGCCACTGATTTGCGCGCTTAATTAGTTATTAAAAAGGAGGTAATTTTTACGCCAGTCCCATTCGTTTGTGTTGAAACGACCGCGAGAATTTTAATTTCAAAGCTAGAGCAGCCATTGTTTATTGCAAATCGGCTGGAGCAAAAAATTCGAGATTGGTGCCATTAATTAGCTGCTAAGTACAGTCTGTAAATAGAATTTTTTAAGTGACTGGAAGGGTGGTTTATCGAATATAAGGCCTTCCGACACGTGTATTTAATAGAAATGTTTTGCATTGTGTTTGTGGCACTTATGAGTTACTTTGTGTGAAGCTAGAAGTGAGATAATTTATTTGTAAAAAATTGCTCCAAAATCTTCAACCAGTTTCGTTATAAATTAATGACATTATTGATGTTTCTTACAAGTATTTTTTTTCTTTTGACATTATAATTAAGTATAAAAGACGCAGTAGATATCGAGAACGTTAATCTACAATTCGAATTTGTCTCAATTAATTAATTAAATGTTTTTTCGAAATATACGGGATTCTAGAGAATCGACTGGCTGGTCCCGACACGCAAAATCTTCTGGATGCTCCTAAAGTTCTACAAGAGGTTCAAGCTGCTAGATCCGCGGAGATACGGCTAGAGAGCCTAGCTAAATTAGGAAAAGAACTGCTCGCTGATCTTCCGGGGTACGAAGAAGTGGCGGCGCGTTTATCGAGCGCCCTGAAAGAAGCCGAAGAGAGGAGACGAGATTTGGTTGAGTCATGGGTAACTTTTAATTATACATATTTTTAATATATTTCTCTAAAATTACTTGAAAATTTAACAAAATTTATAATTACCAGGTAACTGGTATTATATATCTCTAAAAGGGTTTAGCAACGCGTTTTTATTCGCAGGTGAACACTACCAAGGACGATATAGCCAAGAAGGAATTGAGCTTGGGCACTGATTCGCCGGTGGTCGAACTTACTGGCACCAGTATGATGCGTGTGACCTACGATCCTCGGTTGATGACACTGATTAGAGAAGCCAGAGCGTTGTCCGGCGAAGGCGTCGAGTTACCGCGGGAAATTAGAGAGCTGGTAGAGAGAGCCGCATCTTTAGCCGGACGAGCTAGAGCTCTTCAGCAGGTCGCTACGTTCCACAACACGATCGGCGATCGAATGGTACCCTCTCAGAGACCGCTTATGTTGACTATAGCTCTCGAATTGGCGCGAGCTGTTCAAGAGCAGTCGGGTGTCGTTTGGTCCGATCCTCATCTCGTCGACGTGTACACCGCCAGATTAAAAGAGTTGGTAAGAAAAGCTCGTTTTGTTATTTATATATTATTAAAATATTTATACATATCAATGATATATAAATGCATTGATATATACTTATATATAATCAATATTGCTAGGCGAAATATATTCCATAACATATTCCCCGCAGGTAGTGAAGTTTGCCCGACAAAACTCAGAATTGATCTCAAAGCACTCTACCTTGCGAGATTACGTGTCGGGCTTGTTGAAGGGCGACGCCGTGCATCTTGTAGGAAATCAGAACATATGGAAGGAGACGTTGACGAACATGAGAGCGATTGTCGACGCTGTGGATTCGGAATATGGTAATGCGAGAGCTTGGAAGTTGCATTGGGATCGGCAACTCCTCAAGGCGTTGGGTGTAGCGTACAGGTATAGTGATAATTTCGCGGGAAGGATCTAAAAGAGAAAGATTTAAAAATATTCGAAATATTTGATTATAATAAAATGCTATATTATATATAGAACGATTTTTAATTGCATGCAAAATTTATCAACGACATTGATATTTTTGTCGGAAATATATTTAGCCTTAAATATGCATCTCCCTGTTTTATTGTACGTCTTGTCTAGGAATGCCTTGCCGTCCTTGTCAAGAAAACTATCTGAAATTCGAGTGGAACTCACTTTTCGAGATGGATCCTTACAATGGAGGCCGCCGCTCGAGGATATTCGCGCGAAATTGTACTCCGGTATACGCCGATCGCTTTCCATTCCGGTGAATTTTAGGGGTGTCGGAGACGTCGCCGATGCACGCTTCGGCGATTTGGTGCAGAAGAACGCGTATCTATTCAGCGGCGTTTACAAGCAAGTCGAGATCGCCCTGTCCACTCTTGAGTTGTTTAGGCTCAAGTGGCTAAATCTAGCAACACCGGCCAATATAGATGTTGGTGAACGGTAAAATAAAATATTATATTTTATATATAAGAAATTAATATAGATAATTAACGTATAGGATTAAGATTCTGTTAAATTTTTATGGAAAAAGATTTATTAAAAAAGGATCTGTAAATTAATAAGTAAAAAAAAGTTGTATAAATATATTATTTGTTTATGTCGGTCTATAATTTTCTAGACTGAAAGGTAAACCTCCCCAAGAATGGGCGAAAGCTTTTAAGGAGGCGAAACAATGGGCCCAAGAAGTAAGTTTTATGTTACGAAAATAAATCAAAAAGTACTTTATACATATGAATAAATAGAAAATGATAAAAATACCAGAAAGTTTCCAAGGTTTATTAATAAATTTTTAACTCTATATAATATGTATATATACTTTCTAACATGCATCTTGTGTCTTATTTACGAATAGTTTTTCACTTTGTATTAAACATTTAAACATTTGCAACATATCGATTCGACTAAAGATTGGTGTGTACATTGAATTTCTGTCGAGATAGGTCGGAAAATTACGTGGATGCGAGGTGAAAATCTCGTGCATATGCATCGACACATCGACGACGAGGAACGATTTGGAGACCGCGTCTCGTCATTATTGGGAACGGCTGTGTTCCGATCTGAGAGCGGAAGCGTCCTCGCGGCTGGTGGCTATCGTGGACTTCCTATCCTTCGCGTCCAAGGAGCTCGAACGTAGGCCGCGCGATGTGGAAGAGGTCGGATTAGCTTACGAGGCTCACGCGCGTATCGAGCAACAGTCGGCAGGAATCGCCGAGGAGATGGAAGTCGTCGCTGTGCTCGCCAAAGTTATGGCCGCGTGGACCAGCGAGAAACTCGACGGTAATGTTCTCCCATATAAAATTGTCATGTTATTCCGGAACCATTTTTTCGTAAATTACAAAAAAAAGGGATATAATTATAAACTGAGCTCTCGTTAATTTGCATGTTGTTTGCAGGCGTTAACGCGGCTCACGCCGCTTGGCAGGATTTGGGAGACCGTTTGGAAAAGCACAAGGCCGTTATGGCGCGTCTGTTGGAAGACGCTAAAGTTAATCTTCGTCACAGGGCGATAGCGCTAAGGGACGAAAGAGAAAGATGGCAGGCAAAGTGGTCCGCGAGATCGGAGAGTCTCACGCTCGACTGGCTGATGTCGATGAAGGAACGTTGGCTCAATCTAAACGGGCAGTTGGATTCCTTGAAAGCGGACTGCAAGAGAATATCTTTGGAACTCGAAAGTGTCCTGGAGGACGAAGACATAAATCTGTCACAAGTGGAACGCGAATTGGAAACCGAGGAGTCAAATTACAGGTCTCTTTAACGGAAGACCTTTCTTATGAAACTAGAAACTTTTTGTTTCCTCGTTTTAGCATATGTGTCAGAAAATTTATTTTTTACTTTATGGTATTTTTAACGAAAAATGAATTAACATATTATATCGAACACAATCGCAGATTCCAATCCGAGTTTTTAGAGGAGCTGAAAAATCAGGAAACCGAGGAGTGGGCCGTAGCTAGAAGAAGATTACCAAGACTTCACGATTGGCTTGATTCCTGGCAGAATAAGATTCGGTTGAATGACAATCTGGAGGTCGATACCTTCGTTGGCAGAAAGATAAACGAAATCAGATCTGCGATCGAATTTATCCAGCCGCTTCGGGGAGACGAGATCACCGACGAGCACTGGACCGAGTTAATTCCTATACTGGGCCTAAAGGTCGGAAGCCCACGGAATATCACATTGGGCCACTTGCTCGCTTGTACAAAAGAGCTGAAGGAGAATGAGGATAAAATAAAGGTAAAAACATGCAATTTTAAATAATAACAATAAATGTCAAGCTCGTCAATATAAAAACAATCAAATTTAAAAAGAGGCCAAACTATAACGAGCGCTTAAAAACGAAAATGTTAGCGTTTATTAATTATCTATAAAGTTTAAATATGAGAATTAATTAAAATGATATTTTGACATTTTTATTTTTAAGTGCTCGATAGCTTAGTCTCTTTTTAAATTTGATTTTTAATGCAATTTTAAGATTGTTAAGAAGAAAGGAATGGTACACGGAATTTCAATATTTACAATATCTAATTTTTCCAGTAAAAGAGGTTTCTATTTTATAAAAAATGTGTTCTTAAAAAGATTATTAAAAATATAATAATAGACTTGTAAAAAGCTGAATATGTAGCCATATGTATTTATATTGTAGTTTTCAGATTTTCGTAAACGCGACATATGTATTCGTATTTCAGGAAATAACGAAGCGAGCAATCGCCGAGAGCGGGATCCGACAGGCGTTAATAGATCTCGAGATCTGGGAAAGTACGGCGTCACTTCCGTTACAGGAGTCAACTGACAGCAAAAATAAGACGATCTTACTCGTCGGGGATTACGGCAGTCTGTTGGCGAAAATAGGTGCCGCGCTTTTATATTTATTGTCATTGATTTTCATTAATTTTATAATCTGTCAATTTTACATCAAATTATTAATCGTTTACAAACAGAGGAATTGAGGCTCTTGCTCGAAGGAGCGAAAGGCACGTCAGGACACGACAGGTTCGCGTCTAGAGCTGCGCGCTGCGAAGCAGCTCTATCGGAGCTCGAAGAAAGGATTAAGGCACTCAGCAGCGTACAAAGGAAGTGGATCTACTTGGATCCGGTCTACGGAAGTGGGGCGGCTCCCAATGACTCCGGCAAATGGTCCAGGGCCGATAAGGAATTCAGGTCTGTTAAATTGCATCAATGTTCGATTTAATTCGCCCTGCATACAGCGTCTTTCAGCGGTTTTTCTTTCTGTATCATTTATATTCAAATAATTTATATCTTTGCTTAGATATCTCATAGGAGAAGTATCTCGGGACCCCAGAGTACCATCCTTAAGGCAACTTTCACTACCAGCTTTAATAAGTTTAAAGGACCTATTAGATAGATGTCAGAAATGTCTGGACGAATTTCTGGAGGTAAAATTTATGAAATAAAACATGTAACTGAAAAACAGTCACGTATTTTCCGAAAAAAAAAAAATATATTTTACATTCCTGTCGGGGGTTGTAATAAAAAAATCTTAATTACAGGAGAAACGAGCAGCTTATCCAAGATTGTACTTTCTCAGCGACGAAGATCTTCTCGAACTGGTATCGGGCAGTGGAAGAGGCTTGGAGGCTCACTTACCGAAATTGTATCACGGTATTGGTTCGGTAGTAAAGGAGAATAATTTGTTAACGGCGATTGTGTCACCCGAGGGAGAAATGTTGAAGTTACCAGAGGCTGTCGATCTCACGGAATCTCTACCGCAGTGGCTGAACAATCTCGAAAAGGGGATGAGAAACGCTCTCCGTCAAAGTTTGGAAAAGTGTCTAAACGATTCCACACCCGATCCGTCCGTTTATCCCTCACAAATATTGCTGCTGTCGGAAAGAATAGGATTTACCGAGCGCTGCGAACGCGCCCTCAAGGAAGGTCGCGCGGCTCTGCAGAAGCTTGTCGAATTTCTGGAAACGCAGAGGGCAAGGTACAGAGGACTGGAGGACGCCGGTGACAAGCTGACCGCGCTGAAAGCGCGCGGACTTCTTCTGGATACCGTCCATCATCTGCAAGTGGCCCGAACATTGTTGAAGATCGTCGTAACGGGCGAGAATGCTGGCTGGACGTGGCATAAACAATTAAGAAGCTACAAAACTGTGAGTTTTGCTTAAAAAATATATTTTTGTCTCGGTAATTGAGAATTTAATCGATAGCGATATGACATTTTTTTTCCTTTAAAACGCACTCCGTAAATTTTAAAAACAGAAGCAATAAATTTTTAAAATATGAAACATTTTGTCAATTATATATTATATTATTACATTACACTGTCATATATTTTAAAGAGTCAAGGTACGTACGTAATACGATGCGCCGGTGCAGAGTTACCGTATCGCTTCGAATATCAAGGGGCGTCCATCGGCTTGGTGAGAACTCCCCTGACAGAGAAGTGCTTCTTAGCACTCACGCAAGCTATGAAGCTTGGGTTGGGTGGCAGCCCGACCGGTCCCGCTGGAACCGGAAAGACCGAAAGTGTCAAAGCTCTAGCATCTGTCTTGGGTAGATTAGTTCTTGTCTTCAATTGTGACGAAGGTAAAGTGTCTAATTTCATCACAATTACGGCAGAAATTGTCACGTTAAACTAACAAGGAAACACAACCAAGTGTTCCCCTCCAATTTTATTAACCTTTGGATATATCAATACTATTTAAATGTTAATAATTGTTTTTGTCTATATTTATATTATATATATTAATAATATTATTATATATTAATAATATTAAAATAAGATGCACGTATTTTTTTTATAAGTCGCATGTTAAGGAAATGAAACCCTTCCTTGAAAAAAGATTTTCTTTCGAAGCAAATATCGTTTGAAACTAGAAAAGATGGAAAAAATTTTTAACTTTTAAAAGTTGAATGGTTTCAAAAATATAAGACTCTATAATAATAAGAAAACATTTTTATTTCAGCATTTAAATTTTTTTATTACAAAATATTTTTACAAAATTAAAAAAAGTATAATAACTGTTTTTTTTTAAGGGAAGATTTATTCCCTCAACGTGTGATTCAACACTTGCAAAAGACGTGTCTCTTATTTTTGTCTATATTTTAACATATCCATAGCTTATTAAAATCGAAGGAAAAAATACTTGAATGTAAGCTAAGTTCCTTGTAAGCTAAGTTTACTATTAAGGCGTGAAGTTAAACTGTCCTTTGCGAAATGTAGGAATGGACACTGGCAGCATGAGACGAATCTTAGGCGGCCTGGCGCAAGCCGGCGCCTGGGGTTGCTTCGATGAATTCAATCGTCTCGAGGAGGACACCCTGAGTGCAGTATCGATGTTGGTGAGGCCGCTTCAAGAGGCGCTACGGAACGGCTCGCCCGAGATCCTGCTGGGCGATCAGAAGATCAAGCTGGATCCTCACTGTTGCATTTTCATCACGATGAATCCAGCCGGAAGCGAGTACGGTGGTAGGCGTAAGCTGCCGGATTCCTTAGCGCGACTCTTCAGGCCTATCAGCATGGCGCATCCGGACAAATCGGACATCGTCAAGACTCTGCTGGAGTGCGCCGGTTTCTTGGAGGCGGCCACCCTCGGTAAACGTCTGGTGGAGGCTCTTGATATTGCCGGGACCATACTTTCCGAGCAGCCGCATTACGATTGGGGGCTCAGGGCGCTTAAATCTGTGCTCGACGATCTGCATCCGATTGCCGGCGTCGATGAGACCACCAGGTACGCTTGCGTTTCTGTTTTCAACTGTGTAAGACTGAAAATAAAAATTTTATTAGATATAATAATAAAAATTGTTAACAATTTGTAATAAAACTTTGTCTTAAATTATTAGCGTATTTTTAATACATTGTTGACATAATAAGATTGATACGACGCAGGCTTGATCTGATATTCCAGATTAATATTTTTTAATAACAGTTGTGAATCATGATTAAAAAATTAAGAGGCAATATCTGTGTCAGACATTTCAAGTTATGAATATTAACACGCGGAAATTTGGAAGGTTTTATGACAAACTTAGCGATAAGAGACGCGTCCTTGAATTATCGCTGAAAAACCTAATATAATTAATAGATAGAAAAAAATCACGGTGGCACAATCTAATGGCTCATGTTTTCAGTCCCTAAATATCAGAGTTTTTATCTTTATTGCGTTAATGTATAAGTTGGCCATCGATAAGAAAATAATTCATTCCTTGATACAGATTTCAGTTTGTACTTTTTGTTGATAAGAAATGTTTCTATTTTTATTGCGTATAATTTAGATAAGATAAATGTGAATACTTTTTGATAGAATTAAGAGAGATTTAAATTAAGATCTTTAAAATGCACTAAGACAAAATTTCTTTTTCGTTGAAACTTATATTGATATGATGAAGAGATTTCTTATTTTCTGGCAGGCTTCTCGTTTCGATCAGGGCGTCAACCCTTCCAAAACTGACGGAGGCAGATACGACGAAATTCCTGTCATTGCTGGACGATCTCTTCCCGAAGAGTAATCTTTCCTTGTCGGTCTCTGAAAACGAGGACCTGGTCGTCGCACTGTTGAAGATCTGCGAAACTCGAGGATTAACGAAGGAGATTGCCAACAGATGCATTCAGCTGAACGACCTGTTGAAGAGCAGGACCGGCGTCGCCATAGTCGGTCCACCGGGTAGCGGAAAGACGTCGATCAGATCGTGTTTGGCCGAGGCAATGGCGAAAATCGGCGAAAGCCTCCAACAGATTGTCGTTTATCCTGGCGCGGTACCAAAGAGCAGATTACTAGGTCACATTAATCCGCGAACGAGGTGAAGTAACGGAAAATATGATTTCTTACGATGCCGTGCGTTGAATAAAATTGTACAAACATCCGCGTGTATAAACAGGGAATGGAAGGAGGGTGTTCTATCGAGCGCGGTGACGTCCGCTGGAAATTCCGCGACCTGGATTATTTTTAACGGGGACGTGGAGCCCGAATGGGCAGAGGCGTTGAATTCAGCCTTAGATGATAATCGGCTGCTAACGTTACCCAATGGGATAGGAATTAAACTTGGTAGCGGTACAAGGTACAAATGTCACTAATTGACGATATGACAATATTCTTAATGCATAATGGCGAAATTTCCCAAATTCTAATTATGCACGTCAAATAAATTTTTTTTTACGCTTTTGCGGTATTTAATTACTTGACCATCATGTTTGTAAAACAAGGTTTATCTTTGAGACCCATAAACTCGCCGATGCCAGTCCAGCTACGGTATCGCGACTGGGCGTTCTGCATCTTGGCTCGACGAGACCGACATCGTTACTGGTGCCGTGGCGTTTAGAGCAACTCTCGTCAACCGCCGCGGAGATTGCAAACACCCATTTATGTTCGTGCATCGACGAAACTCTGAAAGTAAACGTCGACAACTCCTCCGCATCCGGCCTGATGACCGCCACGTTGTGTCATCTTCATAAAGCGCGGACGTTCGCTCAGGCCACTCAGGCTCTTCTGGTCTCGTTATGCGGCCAAGTGGAGGATACGCAATCCAAAGACAATTTGGCGAAATTTATTTACGGATCAACCGAGAGCTGGTAAGTGCTCTAAAGGGAACTAATCTTCTCAAAACAATAGGCTGGAGCATCGTCACGCCGAATTTTTTGCTTATAAAATTATTTCTCAGGTGTCCCGATCCACAAAAGCCAAGTGCGGTTCTTTACGACCAGGAAACCGATCGATTGGTACCTTTCAGCGATACATATGAATCTATCGATACCGAGAACGGGCCCATATCGATTTCGGGTATTGTTAAAAAATTTATTTTTAAAAATTTTAAGAATATATCTTTAGAAGAGACTTTAGAACTTTATATATTTTGGTTATACAGATCGCATCAAGAAAGCATTAGCAGCTACTTTGACCTGGATAGAGGACGGACATCCGATTATGATTCGTGGATCTGAGGCCTGCGGTAAAAACGCTTTGATCGACGTTGCGTTGACGAAAATAAAGAATCAGGATACCACAACCGTGGTGCGAGGGTCTTCACTTTACGGTCCTGACGATCTCGTGAGTCGTTTGAAAAAGGCCTGCTTACGCTTGGAGTCTTCGTCGCAGGGTAGGACGTACAAGCCGAGAAGCGGATCTCGAGTGCTTCTTATCTTGGAAGATATGCATCTCGCCGCTAAAGACTTACAGGTATAACTCCAAACGAGTTTTCTCTCCGATCTTTCGATGCATTAATTTAGACATACTTTATAGCTGTGTTAACATATAAAAGATAATATTTTGAAAATTTCTCTTTCCAAATGTTTTTGTTTTAACTATTGAATTTGCAAATAATATTTCTTTAAAAAAAAATAGTAAGGAAAGTTCTCAAAAAAAATTGTAACATGATGTTAACAAAGTAAAGTTATTCTCAGGAATTGGTGAGAGAATTGCTTCAAGAGGAAGGTTTCCTTGAGGAAGATCTCGAATTTTCCAAAATATCCATAACAATTATATGCACTGCCGACGTGACTACTCGATTACATCCGAGGCTTGAAGCATTATTTGCAACTTATTATTTGGAGTGAGTGATTTATCTACAGAAAAATATATAAATTAGAATAAAGTTTGGAAGAAATCCATTGTTTAAAATGTCTAATTATATATAAATTTAATCTTCTGGATTTTCGAACATTAAGAGAAGAAGTTGGAAAAATTAAAAACAAGAAATTCTTAATTTAACAAAATAAATTTCAATTAATTCTCTTTAACTCGTGAATTCTTAAAAATACAATATTAAATTACAATAAATTTCGTAAATAAAATCTTAAGATTTTAAATAAAATTATGTCTGTAACAGAGATCCAAACCAAAAGGATGTCGCGGCCATCCTCGAGCTTCATTTGAGGACTTCCTTGAAAGAAGTCGACCTTGTTATGGCGGAGTCTTGGATCGTCCGAATGAAGCCTAGTATTTTGGATGCTTTCCGATCTGTGAGTTCCGCTGAGGAATCTCCTCTCATCTGGACTCTTAAGGATATTGTCTTATGGGCAAAGCTCCTGAAGTATTATCCCACTCCCGAAAACGAAGCGTATATCACTCGTTACTTGTTGGACATTGGTCAACGTCTATTTCGCGCGAGGTATTACTCTAAAATCGTAATACTTTACAGGGCAACTTTTTATTTAAAAAATATATATTATTATTATATGTATACATTAAAATCAAATTTGCAAAGAAGATAAATTAAATTTCAAAAAATATAAATTTAAAGTCTTATTTAAACGTTCCTTAATAAATGATTAAACCGCTTTCCCACACAGCAGAAAATATTTTTTTAAATATTTCAATTAAATATTTCGAAATATTTCGTAAGCATGTGTAAGACATTTAAACTTATTACATTAAAATATTTCACAAAAATATTTTAGAAATATTGTACAAATATCATAAGAAATATTTTTGAAATATTTCATGCTATGTGAGTTATTGTATTCGAGTCGTATTATTTACCAATCTAGATTAACGCCCAAGGAGTTTTCACGATGGGAATCTCTACTAATTTCGAAGGACTCCGAGGTAAAAGATTTTAACAATGATGTTTATGCGTGGAAGAGCGCGAATATTGGGCTGTATCCTTTGAGTGAGGAACAATGGCGAGAAGAGATAATCAACGCAGCAGCTAGATGCGCCAGAGAGGGTCAACCAGTGCAGGCATCGATTTCAACTTATCTTTTGGAAATCGTAGCTGGTATGTATATAATTAAATTAGTAGATGAGAAGAAGATTGGCATTTATCACAACAATATAAATAAATTAAAAACTAGAAAGATTCTCAGAATAATCAACATTCGAATAAATAGGCTGATGGGAATCGGCGCGGTAATTATTGCGAAAAATCACAAATTTCAATAATTGACACAAGTTTATCCCGTATATATAAGTATATATTTCCAAAATTCGGACCGATTGCTATTAGCCTATTTATTCGTATGTTAAATATAAATAAATATTTTCCTAGGACTAAGCTGGGCCGTTGGATGCGATTTCCGTGGTATAATTCTCATTGGACGACCCGGAGCAGGCAGGAGATCAGCAGTTAAACTGGTTGCGACCTTTTCTTCCCTACGACTGATTGATTCAGGACCTGGTACCGTAAGATGAGCTATGATCTGCAGAAACGCGATCAATTATCGTATTTTGTTCCTCGGAATTCTGTCATATCCGTAAATTATTTTTTAGAACGCGGAAAAGCGGCGATAAAGAGCGCCGTCCAATCAGCCGGCATCGAGGGTCAATCGACTTTGCTTCTGCTGGAGGAACATCACGCCAGGGAGGAGACCTTAGCCGTGATGGTGAGCGCTATAGTATCCAAAGGGGAAGTTCCAGGACTTTACACAGCGGAGGAGCTTGACGCGCTGGTCGCGCCACTCGCCGATCTGGCCCGAAGGGAAGATTTTCAAGGGACGCTGGAACAATATTTGTACCATCGTACGTTTACTCAAAACCTGAATAAATAAATTCACAGTAGTTCGTTTCTCCTCGAAAGAATTTATAAATCTTGCATTTATATATCAGTGATGGATCTTTTTGCTAATTATATTGTCGTTGTGATATGTATAACGACTGAATGATTTTGCGCAGGCCTGCGCAAGTATCTTCGCGTAGTGATGGTCTTAGATTCTGAAGAGATCGAATCGTCGTCGTTGCTACGTCTTGGCCTCCTTCGATATTGCGCGCTGCTCGGAGCCGGACCTGGCGTTTCTGACGAGTGGTGGTGTCGGGAGAGCTCGCTGATCAAACTGGCGATTCAGGAGGGCACTTTGCAACTGGACGAACTCGAGGAACTGCCGCAATGCGCGAAGGTCATAATCGGAGCTCATCTTCAGGCGCCTCGTTACCAAAGGGCACCGGCGCGGTTTCTCGCTCTGGTGCACACCTGGAGACACCTCCGCGACACGTGGAGCAAAGAGGTTGAAGAGAAGCTGCGATCTCTTGAAGCCGGTATCAGCAAGCTAAGAGAAGCCGGCGAGCAGGTGGCTAAGCTGGAGGACGAGGTGTCCAGGCAGCGCCAAGAACTTGAGGTACATATAATACAATAATACTATACAATTGCAAATTCTTATATTTTACAACCGCAAATGTATAATTGTATAAAATCTTACTTCAAGGTGGAAAAGGGGAGGGCCAATACCGCTCTTGAACAAATCACCGCCACAATGAGAGGCGCGACCACTCAAAGGGGAGAGATGACAACTTTGAAGGCCAGCACGGAACGCGAGAGTGCCGAACTCGCGCGGCGTAAGGTAATATTATTTTTCTCTGTCATCATTTATCGTAATCAAACAAAAAAACTGAAGGATATTAAAGATTACGCAACGTGACGTGTCCGCGTCGATGTGATGCATATACATAAATAACGATATATGTATATCAATTTTATCATTTGCGTAGGCGGACATAGAGAGTGAATTAGGAAAGGTCGAACCTATGGTGGCGCAAGCCGCACACGCGGTGGCTGGTATAAGTGCCGATGCGTTGGCTGAAGTTCGTTCGTTAAGAGCACCCCCGGCGCCGGTGAGAGACGTGCTCGAGGGTGTTCTTCGGCTAATGGGCATAAAAGACACGTCTTGGAACAGCATGAAAACTTTCCTCGCCAAACGAGGTATCAAGGACGAGATTAGGTAAACGACAATTTTTGGCTTAATCTAGATAATTTATATTTATTTTATTTTATCCAACTATTTGTTTAATTTTACGACAAATTAAAATTCTTTTTTTCTCCACTTTTCTTCACAATTTAACGCGCAGAAATTGGGATGCGAGACGCAGTACGCCTGCGAGTTTAGAAGCGGTTGCCAAGTTGATAAAGGAACGTCCGGACAGCTTCGAAGAGAAAACCGCGAAGAGAGCGTCGGTTGCGGCTGCTCCGCTAGCCGCGTGGGTACTCGCGAATCTTCAGTACGGTCAAATATTGGAACAAGTTGCTCCTCTCGAACGAGAACAACGTCAATTAGCAGAGTAAGCCTTTTCAATTTCTTGTATGCAAGAATTCTTGATTTTTCCTTGATTCATCTTCCAGTCATTTCCCATTTTATTTTTGTCACCAGAGATAAAAACTTCGCTTCCTCTTGTTTCCTTGTCTAATTTCAAATTTTTATTATTTACCTTTTACATGCTAGTTGCTTTATTATTCGATTTCTTAATTTTTTTGCGATTGAAGGGGATTGGCGGCGGCTGAGGCACAATTGGGGAAATTGGAAACGGGATTAAATACGGTGGAGAGTCGCGTGGCGCAGCTTCAGCAGGAGCTTGCCGAGCACACGAGGGGAGCGGCTGAATTGCAGCTGCGAACCGAATCCACCGAGGCCAGTCTCTCGACGGCGCGTGCTCTATTGAAGAAACTCGATACCGAACATCGCGACTGGCAAGCGCAATTCCAAGAGCTGACAGCCAGGAAAGAACGACTAGATGTTGAGGCAGCTAATGCAGCAGCTCTACTTGTTTATCAAGTAATCAGGCTTTCTATTTAAATTTGCTCAATGTGAAACAAAATACTACATTATATTTTAGAACATCGCAACTTTATTCTAAAATTTACATAAATTAATATTTAAATATAAAAAGTTTGAATATTCTTATGTTTCAATTTTTTAACTTTAATTTTTAAATATAAGAACGTTTAAATATCCAATGTTGTGATGGTTGAACATAATAATAAATATTATCAATTGATTCTTAAAAAATTAATGGATTTACAACGCGCTTAGATTACGCAGGATCCTGAGAGAGACGACGATTGGAAAAAATCAGCGACCAAGTTACTAGTAACCGAACGCGAGAGATTATCGTGGAGGGCACAGGGTTTGCCAGCAGACACGAGTAGCTTGGTCGCGGCCTCTCGCGTGCTGAAAGGACCTCTGATCCCTCTTTTCCTTGATCCCTCGGGAGTAGCTGTCACCTGGATCAAACGCAACTTTGGCACCAGACTCGAGATAACCCAGCCTGAAAATTCCAAATTTCTGACGGCTCTAGAGCTCGCTGTGCGTTTCGGGAAACCTCTCTTGGTCGAGGAATTGGTCGAATTCCCATCGATACTGTTGCCCATGCTTCGCCGGGGACCGCTCAGATTGGGCGATCGCACTCTGCCGGCTCAGGAAGGCTTTCAACTCTTTCTGGCAACTAGGAAGGATCGATTGGAAGATATTCCGAAGGAAGCCGATGCTGTATTGTGCGAGATCACGCTCGGCGCCGGTACGAGAAGTCTGGCGGAGAGATTTGTAGAGAAGGTATGGGAAAATAAAGAAATATATACGCATCAATTTTAATATGGCATCTCTATCTGATTTCCTTTTGTCGACGATTAACGATACTGTTCCATCAGCTGCTACTAAACGAAACGCCGGAGCTTGAGGCGCAGAGAAGAGAGGCCTTAGAGAGAGAAGAAAGATTGTCCGGAGAACGAGACGCGGCCAGGCTGGATGTGTTGAGCCAATTAGCCACAGCCAGAGGTCAAGATCTCTTACAAGAATCTCAAGAACAAGGAGGTCTTTTGTCTTCATTGGAGGCAACGCAGTCCAAGGCGAAAGAGATAGCGATTGCGCTCGAGGAAAGTAGACAAAGTTTGAACGAAGTCTTAAGGTACTCTAAAAAAAAATTTTAACATTATTTCTACTAAAAATATTAATGTTGACGCTGGTATCAATATCTGTAAATAAAGCTGTTTTCGTCCTCTTCTTTTAGGCGTGCCAAAGACCACGAAAAGTTCGCGCAGTTCGCCGCTAATGTTTACGAGACCATTAAAGGATTAACACTTCTCAGCTCTTTATACGTCATCTCTACAGAAGCCTACACCGATATCTGCTTGAAAGCGGTGCAGAATGATATTTCTTTCACGAATGAAGACAGAGAAAAGAAGGAATCGCGAGGTCTAATCGAGAAACGGTATGCATATATAATCCAATCAATAGAATAATAAATGCAAGATTATCATGCAGTCTGTCGTGTCAGGTTGATTACTTTGACGTTCCATCATTGCGCGAAGGCGGTCTACAGGAAGCACAGACTTTCACTGGCATTGCACATGGCACTGTCGTTGAACCCAGTGCCGGATGTCGAGAGGAATCTCTTGTTCGACAGCGGCGCGATTGGCAACGCCGATAATTCCGACTTTGAATTACCCGAATGGATACCAGATGAACGACGCGAAGCTGTGCAAGCCTTAGGTTCTTCTCTACCCAACGTACGTATTCCAGTACAATATTGTTACAAGTAATTAAATTTTTAAATTGATTTCAGTATATTCACTTTCCATGAATAATTCGAATTCTTAATTAATAGATTGGAATTTTTTTTTATGTCGATATCGTTTTTCTTTTTTAAAGGTAGCCGCCAGGATGAAATCCTCTTGGTTAAACGATATTTCTAATATTTACGCGGACAACGGGCTTAGCGCCTTCCAAAAAGTTTTGGTCGTGAAGGTTTTACGGCCTGACTATTTGCACACCGCTCTCTCTAAATTGGCTGCGAAGCAATTAGGCAAGTGCCAGATTACGTGACAAATTAATCCATTTAAAACTTTGCATTTACCAGATTTTTTTATTCTTTCAAGTAAATTTAATTTTCAAATTTACCTAAGGTGTGAAGGATTTGGCACCGCCTCTGTGGACATTGAGCACGATCGCCCAGGAAAGAGTGGGGTCATATCCTGTGTTATTACTTTTATCGCCGGGAACTGATCCCGGTCCCGAGCTTAGTGTGCTAGCTGAGAAATATACCTCCGCTGGATTTATCGAGGTTTCTCTGGGCCAAGGACACATCACTCAAGCCGAATCGGCGTTGGAAGCCGCATGCAGGTAGAATCTCATAACTTACAAAAGCACACATAAATATGTGTAACATTTTGAGTAAAAAAACTTGAAGAATCTTGTCATTTTAATAAAAATTATGAAAGTACAATAGAATTTTTAAAAATTGTAAACACACAATCTTGAGTATTCAAAATACACGTTTATCATTATATCGCAGAAACGGCGGTTGGATTTTGCTGAGCAACTTGCAGCTCGCTCTAAACTGGCTACCGCGACTGGAAAGTCTGCTTCGCTCGTCGATGTGTACCACAAACAAGAATTCCTCCACGAGGATCTGGCTGACCACCGAGGAGTGTTCCGGATTCTACCCGGGTTTAGCGGGGCTCTGTCTGAAACTGGCGTACGAGCCGCCCGAAGGCGTAAAGAGGAACGTGAGAAAATCGCTTCAGCAGCTGCGACAGTCGCAGCGTAACGGCGACGACGTCGCGACCACTACATTGGTGCTCGCCTGGTTACACGCGACGCTTCAAGAACGGCGAAACTTTGTTCCTCAGGGCTGGATCAGATCGTACGAGTGGAATGAGTCGGATCTCGAGGCTGCCTACGAGTTGGTAGTGAAGGACATGGCGAAGGAGAAACGATCGCAGCAAGGTACGCGAAACGTACATAAAGAATTTTAACAAACAATAATAATATAATAATAATTTTAAATAATTTTATACGGCCAATGTATGAAATATACATATTGTACATGAAAAGGGGACTGGCAGATCGGCAGAGGTTTGCTCGACGTTGCGGTTTACGGCGGCCGGCTGCAGGATGACTATGACGCAAGGGCGTTACGCTCGATGATTCGTAACGCATGGTCCAGAGACATTTTTGAGGGACGCCGGAAGTTGGGCGACGTGTTGAAAGTGACCGACATGACGATGGGCGATCCGGTAAAGTCATTGGAGAATTTGAACGACATCGACTCGCCGAAAGAGTACTTCGGTCTCCCTGCAAATGCTCATAGGGCATGGGAAAGGGCTGCTGCGGAAAAAGCCTTGACATATCTCAAAGGTATCTTTAAATCTCGGATAAGAATCAAATAGTGCGTGTAGATTTCATTAGCGTTTCATTCCTATATTCAAGTTTCCTCGACATTAACTAATATATTTGAATTGTTCTCGAGGTATCTTGATGAAGCCTTTCGACAACGGCGAAGGAACTAGCGATAAATTAGAAAAGTCGAAAGTCCAACAGGATCTAAAGGAAGTTTTGGAGCGACAATGTTCCTTAACGTTCACAAGTGACACAGGTGCCTTAAGCGAACGGAAAGGAAATCCTTTACAGGACTTTTTCATCGACGAGATCGATCTTACGAAGAAGCTATTGCAAATCGTACGAACGGACATGGACGCGTCGTCTTTCGAAAATAACGAGGTGAAGCGGACTTCGATTTTGAGAATTATGCTCCTATATAATTATTTTAGTACAACGATAATTATAATTGTGTATTTTTGCCTCACAATAACGTAGAAAAAAAATCGTTATTTGTAATTCAAGACTCCTAAGCACTGGCTCGGGGTATGGCGAACGGGTCCGAGGAACGCCACTCAATTCGCGAAGGCGCTTCTGACCAAGTACGAAACGCTCAAATCCTCGGCAATGAACATACCCCGTCGAGTCGATTTGTTCCAGCTGTCCCGACCACGGGCTCTTTTGACTGCCCTGAAGCAACACACCGCACGAGAACTCGGTCAACCGTTGGAAACGCTTTGTCTCCGTGCCAATTGGACCGAGAATCGTACGAACAAAGAGTGGAAGGTATCGCTCCAGCTCGAAGGTTTGCTCATATCAGGTAGGCTTGACTGATTATTGGGCTGGACAGAGTTCGATTATATTCGATTCAGACAGAGTCCAATATTCACAATTAGGTATCAAGTTTTTCATTTGTTAAGAACTTTCACGTCGACGTTTATTAATGAGATAGAACCACGTTTGAGAATCTTTCAAAACTTTTGGATAACATTAAAAAATTTAGTTAAGTATCATTAAATAAAGGAAAAACGTCTTGCTTACAGGAGCCTCGATCGAGGAAGGTGTCTTAAAGGATCTGAACGTGAATTCGGCAGCGGTCGCGGTCGCCCCGACGTGCCAAGTAGCGTTCATGCCGGAGGAATACTCGGACGATAAATCCGGCGACGGCGATCTTTACGCTCTCGAGGATGCGTATCGGCAAGATTATCTGAACATACCGGTTTACACAAGTGCTCAACGGGAGGCACTAATTTGTTCGTTACCGATCACGTGCCCGCGAGAGGAATGCGACGCATGGTTACGCCGTGGCGTCATCCTGTATCTAAGATAAGTAGCTTTCGTAATTGTCCCCGATTAAACTGATGAAGATGAAGATACATGATTTGCAATTAGCATGGGTTTCTAATTCGTACAGTTCTAAAGTGTCTTGAATTTTTTATTTACTTGCTCGTCAGCTAGATATATTTATTTGTCAGATATAATTTAGATCGACTTTGTAGATAAACGGTTTTCATAATTGTCTCTAATTTAGATAGACGGAGATAAATATACGGGATGCTCTGCAAGTAGCACCAGACATTAAATCAAATTTCTAACGGGAGCAAACAGTTCTTGTTAAATGCTAGCTATTAAAAGACACGTATTTGTATTCACATTTCTAATTAATCTTGACAAGAAAAACATAGGTTCCTAATTTATACAGTTCCTAAAAATGTCAAACTTTTTACTTATTTGCACGTTATATATAGATATATTTATGTCACATATAATTTAGATCAACTTTGTAGATAAATAGTTTTAATAATTGTCACTGATTAAATTGACGAAGATGAAGATGCGGGATGATTTGCAAGTAGCGCCAGACATTAAACCAGATCGTTAACGAACGCAAATATTTCGAAACTACTAGTCAAATACTAGTCATAAAAAAGTATTCATTTAAATTTATTTATTTAAATAAAAGATATTTATTTAAGCTTGATATAAAACATAGATACCTAATCTATAGTCTTAAAGTACTTTAAACTGGTTCTTTAATCCGTTAAATATATTTATTTGTCTAATATAATTTGGATCAATAAACTTTGCATATGTAATTTTGTTTAATCGAATAAAGAGCGAAAGGAAGGGGGAGGAAGTATATATACATATCATGTGAATTGAACAATACGCTTATTATTATTAAAAATACATAGAGATATGTCGGGAATTTGTTGGGAGGTAATGTTACTCGCGGGACGTTTTATCCCTACGGCAATCAAGTTTCGTACGCGAAAATTCTTCTACCGTTCTTGGAGTCGTTCTTTCCTTCCGTGTTCTCGGAGGACGTTTCGCTGTTCTCGGAGCACGTCTCCGAAAACAATCCGGTAGCGCGAATCGTTTCGTTTCATAGATTTAAAATTACAGATAATACAGCAATATCGTTTTATTTTGATAAAATAAAATGGTCATTAGTTGGTCCGCCTATATCCCACGAGACTTAGAAATTTATATTATATATATATATATATATATATGAGCACACGACGTTCTCCACGCCGCGTAATACGCGCGAGTCGCGTACTGTGAGATGTATCGATGTTTACAGAAAATTTCCGTAAAATTCAGTTCCTATATCCTTTGTAGAAAATAAAAGCTAATATCGTTACATTGTTACGGGCTGGAAATACATTGGCGACCGAAAAGTGTTTCTCTCGAAAATATCTGGAGACATACGTACGTTCGACGGAAGAACTAACAGGCGAATGGACAGAATCCCTTTCGATGAGTATTTCTCTAGAATAGTTAAGAAATTCCGTAGAATAGCCGTTAATTCTCGAATCTATACACTATTTAATATTTCGTAACATTTTCAATGCGACTGGACGACATTGAAGTATCCTTCGTATCGAGAGTTTTCAAGTACTGCGACTTGTATGGTGAAACTCGAGGCAGAAATATTCGTCCGTTGTTATATTCTCGCGCAAGAAACGATTTTGGATCGGAAAGAAATTTACTTACTGAGACTGCATGTCTGTGTATGTTCTGTACATCTAATTGAAACTTATTTCCTACGAGCGATAGAAAAGAGAGGTTTAATAGAAGTAAGGCTCGTTCGAGACGCTCTGTCGTCCAGTACAATCAAGTACAATAAACTTTAAAATTACGAACACGGAATAACAAGAGTCTATTACGATATCGATTTTAAATTATCTATTCGACTCGTAAATTTTATGAGAAGTAGAGAGGGAATGGAAAGTCAAGGATATATGGACTCCGTGCACGCGAATGGTTTTTCTAGCTGCGCGATTATTTTTTCGTGGGCTGATGGGAAATCACGTTAATTTGGATATGCACACCAGCGGCGAAAGAATCATTTGTAAGTAATTGGCTTGAAAATTATTAAAATTTAGATATTATGGAATTATTATTACAATGATAGAAAATTTTGAGTAAAAAGTGAAATAGAAAGATGGAGATACTGACGGAAGAAGAAAGAGAGAAAAATAGATTTATATATAACATTTTATATATAATATAATATAATACTTTAATTCATTTTAATCGTTATTTTATATATAAGATAATATTTAAAAATTTTTTTATATTATATTTATTTGAAATATTATTTTAAATTTTCTCTTTTTCAAATACTTTACGATTATTATTTGGTGAATTTGTAATATTTGATAATTAAGTGGTGCGAATATTTTTATATTGTGATCTTCGAAGTCGTTTGTGTGCATATCCATTATGTAAAAAAGCAAGATTTATACGATGCTTTTCTATTAATAACTTATAGCATGCTGGACTTCTAGCGCGCTAAAGGACTAGCACGTTAGTAGGCTAGTAAAAAAAATATCGTATTAATTTTGCTGAAACGTATGTTGTACGCGTCTACTGACAAAAAATAGGAGCGTGCTCGTGCACACGGGGAGGTCTCGTCGTTCACACGGCAACGAGACAATGAGTTTCGAACGGGAAACGGAACGAGGAGAGAAGGAACGGACGGGAGAGAAGTAACAGTCGCGGCCCGAGCGGCGCTGGCTTATGCCGAAATGTCGTGATTGTCGTCAATTTATTGCTCTAAAAACTTAAATCGAGATTTGCGAGCCGAGCCAGCGCTCTCACTGCCGCTAAAAGGCGTCACTATGTATCCCGGGAAATTCCAATTGATTTCCCTTTTTCTTTTCTTCCCATTTTTTTGTTTTTTTTTCTTGTAAATCTCGGGCCTAGTACTATCCGAAGCATTGAAACCGGTACGATCGCGGGGACAAATATGAGAAAATTTTTTAGATCGCCGCGCGGGAAAGGTTTTCACGCTCATATTCGCGGCGACAGATAAACACGATCGTCCGGTGTAAAATGTATATTACTGTTTCTCTCCCGGGCATGCACTTCGACCGATCGAGAACTGCTGCACCTAATCGTGAGACCGTACCGGCTTCAATGCCATTGCGTTATCGGGCATCTAACTAACGCTACTCTCATTCTCCGTTCTCCACGTACGGTACACGTGATACACACCCGATAACCCGAAGCGCGCTATAATACTCTTACACGCCCTATGACGATCCTACAACGAGCCTACAACGAACCTAAAAACGATCCTTGCAATTATATATATTCTCTCTTTCACTTGCTTTAAATTCTCTCTTTTTATCGATACAACAGGTACGGATCGCGAAAGGCATTTCTTCTTAAATACTCCGAAAGAGCGGTAAAGTTAAGCGAGGACGTACTAGACATCGCGCACCTCCTCCATCACGAGCGCGCAAGTCGATTTTTCTCAAGAGAAAATCGATGAAAGACCTGCTTTCGTAATTTACAACGTTACACGGCGGCCTAACGAAGCCTAATGTAAACCTAAAGTAAACTCTCCTCTATTGTTACGATAACTCTTTGTCTTCTTAAGTTGTGGTCGAAAACACAAAATTTCATATAAGTTATATCTTATACATTCTCGCGTGAAACTTAACAGTCATAGAACAGCGGCAATTCTTTTTTCCGTGTTTGACTCGTTAAAAACATATGGTGCTAAACGTAAGAATTCATTTGAATCAACATAGCGGTTTTTTCGCCGGAACAATAATAATCAAGTAACTAGAAAACTACTTATATACATATAAGATTTAAGAGAGTGCGCGACTCCTGCAACATCAATTATACTCAATAGTCACGATATATATTTTCTATTTTGAGATAAAGAATAATTCGAATTGAATTGAAATAAAAATATCCTTAAAGATCGTGTTGAAAGACGCTAAATACGTTTACAACAATTATTATTTTCTTCACATTGTTTAAAACAAACAGTTCAGTCATATTTGAGATACACACGTTTTGTTCCCCATTAACTTCTAGATTATGCAATGAAAATGTATACGAACTATTGAGCATTATACGAACAATATCTGATAATGAAGAAAAGAGACAAAGACAGAGGATATACTCGCCGCCGTACGAAATCTTCACACACACATACACACACACATACACACACACACACACACACACATACACATACATACATACGCATTTCAAATAATAAAATATATAAACTGGGTTTTCTAGAGGATCACAGAAGTATCGATAAGTAATCGGGCTCGATTAAGACGCGCGAAAGAAAGAAATCGTTGCGTGCACGATATCGTATTGACTTGTGAGCGGCGTCCTCTCTTTAGAATACGCGCAAATCCCAAGAGCGCGATGAGCGCCTCAAAAAACTCTACACGTATATATACATAGATCTTATATTAATTTCCGACAGAAAAATAATTGTAGTAACAGTATAATAGTAATATAGCAATAGTACAATAAATATTGATAGACTGCGTCTAACTACTAATTGGTGTTCGTACGTTGATCCCTTTTTACATTTTGGTATTTATAGAATGTACCTTCGTTCTTCACCGTTCTCCCGCTAAGAGAGTTTATCCTCTATTTTCCCTGAATTAAAACTAACGGATTATCGATTCGCTTGTAGCACCCATTTCGAGTGGAGACTATGAACGTTTCGTGTATAGTATATATTATATACATATACTATATATATGTATATTAGTATATTACATATATAATATATACAATACATACATACTCCTGCATGTGCCCCAACATGAGACAGTCAATCTTCGTTTGGCATTGTCGTTAGTGTTCCTTCATGATTCTTCAATCAGTTGGCACAGATTTAACGTTTCGTCACCGGACCGGAGCTCTACAAACAATCCGCCGTCTCTCTTTAATCGCACAAATGTGATGGCTGGCTCATTTTGTCTGCTTGTTTTACACGAGATGTTGCAGAATCTTCCGCAAATATATAATGGGTGTATTTATACACATACATATATTATACAGTATATATAGATATACAAAACTGACTGTCTCATTTTGGACCGGAGAGACGTTAAATGTCGTACGAAAAATAAATTTGCTCGTCTCAGGAGCAATTTCAGATGCTCCCTGACCGATAATGGTCCACTTGCCGAGTGTACGAGTGTAAGTAGAGCTACAAACCTCAGGCAAGTTTATGATTGAGAAAAATAAGGACTTATTATCGATTAGAAACAACTACGTAATTACGTTATATACGTATGCGCGTGTACATGCGTGTATCTGGTGTATGTGTGTTTGTGTGTGTGTGTGTGTGTGTGTGTGTGTTTATAATTGTGTCCTACAGAGTAATTTTCGAAGTATCGACAAGAAAAATACGTCAGTATTTGGCAAACACGTAATCGTCGACGTCGAACAGATGAGGAATTATCAGATTATCACGTGGCGAATTACGTTACGTCGCCGGAAAAAATGCCGCAAAAAACGTCGTCAGAACGCCGACAATAGCGGCTCTTTTACGTCACAGTCGTTCAGGGCGGTTCAGGCCGTGGCGATCAACGCTGGAGGTCAGAGATCGCTCTCCATCTCGTTCGTCGCCAATTGAAAGTGTTCTTGACCTAGTGACACATATCGTTACACTTTATATACAGATATATAGGTGCACTTCCTTACAAGTTATATGTTTAATCTTGGCTCTAAACAGACGAGGTTTCATTGATGAGACTATCTTGGATCGAGCTATAGAAGAAACTGTAGTCCTAAAATCGGACGAAGGACGCTTTCGCGAAGGACGATTACTTACTTTGCAGGTACGCAGCTAAATCGTGATCCTCCGCGATCAGCGCGAGCTGATGCGGCGTGTTGCCGTGCCGGTCCCTCACCATCAAAGACGCGCCGCCGGCTACGAGCATACAGCAAATACAACGGCGTTTGTTCTGGGCAGCTTTATGCAAAGCGGTTTGCCCTCTGAAACAGAAATCAATATGGTTTACTCTCAAAATCAAGATGAATGGAATATAGAGCGAATGTGAACGAGAAAAACAGGAGAAAAATTTCAACGATATACTCGGATTAAATTTTCAATTTTACGGTGAAATTTTATTTTATTTTCGATTTATCGGTAACTTACTTATCATTATCGATCATGTTTAAGATTGTCGGTGAGGCGGAGGCAATAAGAAATCTGACAATGTCCTTGTGGCCGTGCTTCGATGCCAGATGCAACGCCGTTTGACCAGTTTCATCGATCGACAGAAGCGAGTATCCCTTTTTATCGAGTTGCATCAAGGTCGGTAGATCACCGATCTTCGCCGCTCTCAGTATTTCATCGCAGTTCTTCTCGAGTAATTCAGCAGTGAATCCGTGAACTCCCGAGTTCAGGCCGAAGAGTCTGTCGCGAGGGCTACAAATAGAAAGAAGAAATTCCGATTAGAAGCAGTTGCCACCTCTCTTCCTCTCTCTCTCTCTCTCTCTGTCTCTGCACGCGAACTACTTCTGCAACATTGCGCGCGCGCGCGTGGATAGCGAATAATTATATTATCCGAATAAATTATTCGAGCAAAGATAATTAAAGCGCACGGTCGAATGAGGGTTTACGTAACGTATCGGCTCGTGTTGAGTTTTCTTTAGAATAATCCATAATAGTGTATTCTCGAGTCGCGATACCTTTTACACCGTCTGAAAAAGCACTCGTGTGGAATAAAGGTCTACGTTACCCGCTTTGAAAGCCGCCAGTGATCTTCATTTGAAGTTTTCCTGTCTTCTACATAACGTCGCACGGACACCCTTCTTGGCTCTCGTCGTATCATTCGGATAATTTAACGGCATGGGGGAGTAATGCTCAAGATTCTGAGAACCTTACCTGATAAAAGCAAGAGATCGGTCAGCCTGGTGCTGCGACTGTTCGGCACGAGCGATTGCGACGTGAGAGTGTTGCTTCAGGGAGTCGCGTCGTATGCGAGAATTCGACTCGCCGTTTCTCGTCTCGCTCGGCGACACGTTCAAGGAGTGTCGCCTTGCCGGGTCCTTCGGCCTGACGCCGTTCGGACCCTCGGACTCTTTATCGAAAGAAAAGCTGTCTGGTTGTCTGGAAAGTTTGATCTTCCCGCTGGCGACGGAGGGACACCCCTGTCCCTGTGTGTCTTCGTTCGGTCGAAGACTCGCCCTTTCTCTCACGGCCGACGTGTCCTTTACGTCGCTATATCATATATTATATCATGCATTTCAAAGAGAAAGAGAACTATAGATGCCATAGGTGCCATACGGAAAACACGTCGCGTACCTCGGTAAGCGGATTTGCGCGGTTTCAACCTCCCGACTCGCGACGTTCTGGCTTGGTCCCGCTTGGCCGTCGGATTGCTGCTGCACGGCGTCTTCGTCGAGGATGTACACGGCGTCCACGGCGACGTCGGTCACGTAATGCAACTGCTCCTGGTCGCGATCGATCCTGAAGAATCTTTCCGCGGTGCACGCTAGAAAATGGAAACCACGATCTTGCGTACTTGTCACACGCGGGAGATTTCGCAGATAATTCGCGCGAGAGTCGAGGCACTCACAGTCAAGGAAACAGCACGAATCCATATTATAATCTTTTGTCAGGAGCTTTCTGAGGCTCTCCAGATCAGTCGCGGCGTTGAGTTCGAGCGGTTCCGCGAGCCACGACTCCGCCATCTCCTTCAACCTATCCTTGTTGTGATGATACGCCTCGTAATCTGACATCTTTATCCTCATCACGGGCAGCTTCAACCTGTCCAATCTCGCTGTGTGCTGGTGTGGCTTTCCCGTATTCCGTCTTTTCGCTAACATCGTAGCCTTGTTCAACATACTCAAAGTTATGATAGATGGTAACAGGCGACAAGCCTCGCCGTCGACCTGTAACATTATAAAAAAATTAAATTAAATAGAGGACGCGATATTATCGAGTAGAATTTCAAGAATAGGTTTTTACCACACTAAAGTTTATCCGCAAACGATTAATATTCAACGATTAAAATCTGCGTATTATTTCACAATATCTCGTGATATTTTACGAAAATATTCAAAGAAGGCAGCTTAGAATCGTATTGTTAAAGAAAACGATTCGTGTGATCAAAGATAACAAAAGAAAAATCTGGAACAAGATAATTCTAGGTATCTTGTACGCGAATCGAAACAATGGCGATTTAAATGCGACACAAAAATCACGCTTACCTGCATCGGTATAGTCTTCGTCGTGACCAGTTTGGCCGTGCTGCATTGCACTATGCATGTGCCGTGTCCACGTGCTTGCAGAAGAGGCAGCTGATAGGTGGTCAGACCGACTACCTCGATCAAGCCATCGTCCATAGCGGGCTCTCTGGTGCCACTTCCCGCGCTCCACGGATGCGTCCCGCCACCGTAAGAGGCGATATTCAAGAATAGTATCGCGTGAACACGATGCTCCCTCAATTTCGGTGTCATGTCCTGACCGTCGCATTCCAACGTCACGAAATCCGAAAGATCCTTCCACTTTGTGAGCAGCAAGTCCTTACAACCCATTTGTCCGTAGAACAATTTGTTTCTCATTCTGGAGTTAAACTTCTCCGGGTGAGCCTCTGCATATAAATCGCAGCGGGTTTATCAAACACGAAATCCTCTTTTACATACAATATATTTCACATCAGGTATAAAAAATGTCTGACCTAATTAAAAAAACAAACGAAAAAGAAGAAAAAACTCAAAATCAACATGTTTTGATCATTAAATCAGAACGCCGAGTCTTGATCGGCCCTCGCAATTGATTTCTCGTTCGAACCAGGATCACACATGTATCGACTTAATATTTTCGTATCGACTTAATTATAATTTAGTACGAGTGAAAATTTAGAGTCGGGTCTCACCTCGTGCTTCATGAAACTCGAGGGCGATGTGAGCGTCCACGCCCAGGGAGAAGTAATTGTTGACGACGTTGAGAGGCAGATGTTCCTTGCCCTTGCCACCGTCGTCGTCGTTCTTGGCGTCGGGATTCCTCTCGACCTTCAGTTCCCATCTATCCAACAGAGTGGTCTCGCTGTCACCTATGCTCGTCAAGATCTTGCCGATCGGCTCATCCTTGTAACCGCCTCCCCATCCCAATGCTCTCGCCAGGTCGTTTCCGGTGCCCAGAGGAAGTACCCCGACCGCCGGTGCTGGATAAGCGCCGATTTGGTCCAGGATCGATAGGACCCAACCAACCGTACCGTCGCCGCCGCAGGCCAACACGCGCAAATTCGGGACCTTCTTAAAGAGCTCTAATCTGCAAGGTCAACATTTTTTTAGTTGACTGATTCAGTATCTTTCTTTCTCTCTCTGTATCGTGTGTCATCCTCTTGCCAGTCATCCGTATTTTACTTGGCATTTCATACTCACCCCATTTTTGGACCACCCTGCGTCAGATCGAAAACCTGCCTCGGATTGAGTAGCCATTGGAACTTTTGCAGCAATTTCGCTCCCTGATTACCGCCAGATTTCGGATTTATGAAAACCAACACCGGCTTTACCGTGGCTGTGGGTATAGGCTTAACGATCCACATTTCTCCCTGATCTTTTTCTTTTTCCTTTTCTTTCTCTTTCTCCTCCTTGTCTTTTTCTTTGCTTTTCCGACGATAAGACGAGCCGTCTTTCTTTCTCCTGGGAGATCTTCTCAAGCTACTCTTGAAGCTGCCCTTGCGAGGGAGTTTCACGATCCACGACGGCGGCACCACGATCGACGCGTGAGTACCCAATTCGCAATTCTCGCCTATTTTCTGTACGTTGAAGCACGTCTCTCTATTGTGGTAAGCGGACTTGCACCAGCTGCAGCTCACCGCCACGATCTCTCTGGAGCTGAAGCTGAGCTTCGATTGGAAGGACTTGCCGCAGTTGGCGCACTTGCCCTTCTGCGATCGTCGATGGACCCAATGGTGATGAGTCGTCGTTTGCTCGCGATACTGACGCACACCCACGTCGCGAAAGCTCGGCTTGCAGGCGAATTCTAAACCTCCGACGCAGCAGGCGTGAGCCACTACACGACAGGCCGGACACTTCAACCGGGGTCCGTGTTTCTGAAGGAGGGAAAGAAGAAAGGACATATATCGATCCGATTAACCGAAATCTTGAACGCGTAATTTTTCGTTCTTAAAAGTGTCATCTTCGTTTCATCGCCGAGACTTACGGAACAGTCGTTGACGTAACAGAAATCGCCGGACGTAGCGGTCGGTACCCAAAGATGTTCCCCATTAAACGCATTTGGACCCCAATCTGGAGTCGATCGAGGTTCACGATGACTCGAACTACCCCCGTCTCTGCTATCTTCTCCACTATCCTCTCTTCCTCTAAAATCATCACATCAGACGCTCATAAAATTTTCTTCGACCTTAACTTTTGCATTAACATTGTATATATTCTCTACTGCGTCAAGTTAAAAAATTATCGCGAACGAAAAATAACGGAAAAATAACGCGAACGGAAAATAATTTAATTTTTATACTCTACGCTTCACGATTTATTTGCTATAAAACATTCTGATAATTTTTGTATTTAAGTATAAAATTCATATCTGTAATACAGAAATGAGATATGATGTAAAAGAGAGTACATATATCATTGTATATACATAATTCAAATTCCCCTCGCTCGTGTTTCTTTCATGAGACACCGACAAGCGCGAGAACGAAATCATGTCGTATCTTTGAAATGGTAAGGATGTCCTCAAAGATTTAAGCTATGTTGAATAATTGAAGTCTACCTTCCTGCCGTGGTAAAGCACGCATCCAAAAATAAAGTATAAAAGTTTAACGACTACAGTAGCTTTTTAGATGCGAGCCTCTTTTTGTAGACTGTCTCGATATGCGTAATAATAAATAAATAATGTAATAACCACGAATATCGCACGAAAGATACGTAAGATACTTCGCTTATAGTTCTTTGATCAATATCCTCCAAACATTTAATTCCTCGCAATGATAGACTACTTTTTCTTAGTTTTTTAATACATGTGAACATAGTTTTTCATAGATACTCACAATCAGTGTTATTCTTCTAACATATGGAAATGCTACAGAAATGTCCTAAATAATAATGTATGAGAGGTAGCGCTGTACGGCCCACTTAAGTAGAATCGCAAATAGAGGAAAGAGACGGAAATAGCAAGCACGATAATAAAAGCCTTTTCCTGCTTATTTTTTAAACCTCCCCACTTTAGATCTATAAGTCACGTCAGAATTCAGGATAGAATTCTATTCATAACGTTATAAACCATATATTTTTGCGTGTACTTTGCAATGCATATGTGTCGCAATACGTGTGAACATGCTTAAGCAATGTCAAGAAAAATATTTAATGAATATTTCTGGGTTTAAATAAAAAGATATATTTTATTCTAATTTCATAGTTAAAAATAAAAATATAAATAGATAACGAATGAAGAAAATTAACAGAAAAAAAGATGGTAGAAATATAAAAAATATCTAGTATACTTTTAATCCACTAAATTAGAAATGTGATTTAATTGCAAGTTATTTTCATTCCATATATGTACTCGATACACAATCTAATAACATGAACCACTACTATGTAGACCCCATAAATGTTTATCTTTAATAAAAGGAATTCAATGTTCCAATTTTTTATCCATTTTTTATCCCTTAAAATACTTTAAAAATACTTCTAATACCATCTTCTCTAACAGCAAAATTAAATCTAAAACTATACATACATATATAAATATATGTATATATATATTTTTTTTTTCAAGATGCATAATTTCATGACAAAATCGATGTAAAAACTAAAATGTAAACAAAATAATTTTATTCAGTTCAATTCATGCATCGCACAATAGCACAAATTTAATTTAAAAATTGCTAAAGTAAGAAAAGAGAAAACAGATGAAACTGCACGCAAACAATATTATTTTGCGGAGGACTGTTTACGCATTCCAGGTTTAACGATAACTAAAGTTTAAGTTAAAGTGCTAAAATCGCGCAACAAAATTAAGACTGTGTAATTTAGAAACGTGCTCATCAACGCGATCTTGAATTGCGTCGTGTGATGTGCTTAGAACGGGAGGACACTCCGGGGGGTCCACGGCTCCGCATCCAATCAGACGTACCCACCCTATCGAAGGTCGTGGCTCCTTCCCAGGCAGCAGCGCCGTGTACCTCGTTCTCGCGTCCGTCGGCAGCACGATGTCGACACTCTTCGACCTGATGCTCTGCTGCGGCACCGCCAACGAGTCCGCGTCGGCCACGCCGCCGTTCTTATTGTTATTAAAACACGAGTCCACGGAAGCGGCGCGGTCCCGCTTCAGCTCTGGCACGGTCAGGAAAATGTCACGTACGACAAAGTTGGACCTACACGGCTCGACGGTCTCGTTCTCCTCGTCGTCGTCGTCGTCGTCCGCTTCCGACGCGGTTGCGGCTGACACGAGAGCGGGAAGATGCTCCAGGGGGAAGGTGGTCAGGGCCTCCTGCCTGGACAGCCTGCGCTGCCTCTCCGGGAACTCTGATTTCACCTCGGAGTCCGGCTCGGCAGACGTATCTTTGGTTACCTCGGCTGGGACGCATTGCGATTCGTCCGGGTCGTAGTCGGATGTCAGGGTGACCCGGATCTCCGGGCTGCCTTCCCTCTTGGTCTCATCCTCGCGATCCGACTCATTCTCGGACACGTCTGTGCTATCATTCTCACGAACCTCGCCGGCGTCGGCCTCCTCCCTGGAGATGTCCTCGGCCAGCCAGAGATTCCGGTACTCCTCGACGCAGGCACAGTGGTAACATCCGGAGACTTGGATGGTCGGGGTTTCCGGTCGCTCAATCCCACCTGCTGGGAGCAGACTTTGCTGACTCGAGCCGGAACTCGCGGAGTACGCGTCAAAGCTCTTGGAACGCTGGCCGGTCAGCTGTGGTACTTTCAGGGTCGAGGAGCCCCTCCTCACGCGCATCGACTCATGCGATCTCGCCGGGGAACACGTGGAGGACGACGAGGAGGTTGTACGGTCGTCCTGCCGCTTCGCCTGTAACTGTATCTCGTCGAAGGAGGCCGACCTGATCTGCTTGGGCACCTCGAGGCTAGACTGGGACTTCATTTCCGCCCCCGTGGGAGTGCGCGACCGTTTGAAGGTCGAGCGCAACTTCTGCATCGTCGCTTGATAGCTACCTGGCGACTACGCTGTCGTCCGCGATGACGGAGGTTCTGCTGCTCTCTCTTAACGGAAACAACCTCCCGGACGAGACACGAGAATCGGTCGTGTTGCTTTCCTCGCTCTCTTCCTCGTCCCCAAGACTGGATTTGCCGTCGCGTTCTACTCCCTGTTCTTGAATTGTCTTTTGCTCAGTCGGCGGCCGGATCGCCTGCTTGCACCTCGGAGAGGACAACGATGATAACGACGACGACGACGACGCGACCGTCTCTTCTTTCAACTTGGACTTAGCTGCCGATTTGCAGCCCATTCTAAGTACCTTCGCCGCGAGTGTTATACTGAAGTGAAATCCTGGAGTCTTCGAAAGTTTTCGGAAATCGTTCTCGGAAATAATAAGATGTCAAATCGTCAGATCACACACAATAGAAAAACAATATCAAGAGATGAGGTTTGTCAATGTCGAGAAATACAGATTGAAGTTTACAGCTGTTTCTTAAAGTCCAGCACGATCTTCCAAAATAAACGAAGAGCTGTCTATTTCTAAAGAGACTCCGGTAGAATAGAAACGTATGGTCACTGTCGATTTTGCTTCAATCGATGCTGCTCCAAATATTCGCTCGCTGCTTTCGTGTATAATTTCGCGATTACTTTGAAATTATACGGAACGAAGCTTCTCCGGTCATTTCCCAATATCGCAGCGATGCTTTACGGCTTCGCGCATTTCGATATTTCGAAACTTGAAATATCAAGTGCCGATCAGCGGCGCGTTGAATTACAGTGAAAAATTATCTCTTTAAATTTGCGAGAATGATCCTCGGCAAAATCGACGGTATGATTAATCGAAGTGGACAAACTTTCATCCGTCATCTATTCGCATTCTGCGTTTGTCCACCCTCGCATCCGTTCTCGCACTCAATCACTCTCTCTCTCCCTCTCTCTCTCTCTCTCTCTCTCTCTCTCCCTCTTCCTCTCTTTCTCTGTTTCTCTCCTCTCTCTCTTTCTTTCTCTCTTTACCTTTCTATCTCCCTTTTTCTTTCCTGCCTACCGCCCCTCTCACAGCGCGGTTCTCTCCTCTTGAGTGACTGGCATCATCGATCGAGTTTTCCAGCACCGGAATTTATTTTCACGGTGACGCATGATAATCGGGGTCGCTGATACGACGAGATCGTGAGCACGAGCTACCGTCGCACGAGGTGAAATCGAATCGAGATGATATTCCGCGATCGGAGATCGATTGATCCTCATTGTCACCGTTGCGAGACGTGTTCCAGTTGGCCGGAGCGTCTTCAAGATTTCGCGCTCGTCGCTGACGCGCGTATCTCGTTGAACATATCGACAATCTGTCAAACGTCAAACGATAACGAAGGCCAAAACTCCATGAATTCTTCGGGGACGGACGGTTGTTCGATGCCAAGAGCACATTGACAAATATTCACCAATGAGGCTGCTCGTTGTTCCAAACGACCTTCGCCACGTCGGTCGATCCATAAACTCGATCAATGATAGAGCACATTCCACGAAAGCTCGCGCACCGCGCTCCACTCTCGTCACCCTCGAGATTCGTCTCTCTCTTTCTTTCTGCCTACCTCACCCTCTCCTCTCTCTCTCTCTCTCTCTCTCTCTCTCTCTCTCTGTCTCTCTCGCTCTCTTCCTCTGTCAAACGCAATATCTTTCGAATAAGGAGCACCTACGTACCGTCCACGAGCCGAACGCCTCGTCGCACGAGGGATGAATTCAATGCGGTCCTCTCCCTCCAAAATTTTTGTCCCTCGCTCGCAGTCTTTTCCGGAGTCCGCGAATTCCGAACGGTCTCCCGAACGGTCCTCTTTCCATACAGGTCGCGTTCCTCGCGATCTTCGTGAGGAAAAACGATCACGACGACGGTACGTACGGTACGCGATCTCAGACGTACCGAGGCAACGCGACGCGATGCGACGCGGCGCGGCGAGATTGCCGGTCGGACTAACGCAAGCCAGGGCTCGTCGATGACCGATGTCGAAAGGGGTGAGAGAGAACGCGGGCGGCTGTACGTGTGCGCCCCCCCTCGTCCTCCTCCCTCGTTCTCCTCCCTCGTTCTCCTCCTCGCCCTGCTCCGCTCATGCGCCCTCCACAACGGATCACCTCTCGTGGAGGTGTCACGACCATGCGCGCAATAATATAAAGCGTATTGGCCAGGAATTGAGGTTCGTACGGTAAAAAAAAAAGAGAGAGAAAGAGAGAGAGAGAGAGAGAGAGAGAGAGAGGAGAGAGAAATTGTGAGAAAGAGGCCGGTAGTCATCGAGCGGTGTTAATGGCGTTTGTATTATTCGGATATTTGAGATATTCAAATATCATGTTTCGCAACGTTTTGTTTGCTCGTTCGAAAATATGGATTTAATGGGGATTCATTCGGGGAAAATACGGATTTAACAGTTTGAAGCTCTCTTCTGTATCTCTCCTTCTCTTTCCTCCTATTTCTCTTTTTCTCTCTTGTTCTCAAAGAGAGCAGAGTGCCATTTTTACTCGCATAGCCTTTTATAAAATAAACTACCGTAGAGTAAACGTCATAAAGCAAAATTTACATCCACTATCGAACGCTTCTCTTTCTCTCCGGCGCGTCTCTTCAAACATCAGTCCGGAATCACCGATGCATTAAATTCGCGTGTTCAACGATGGATTCGCGCTGAGTTGCAACCATAAACGCGCGTTCGGCATGTGACCTGAAAAAAACTGCCGGGGAGACGCAAGTGCGATGTAGGTTGCAAATCAAAAGCGTCGTAACAGTCAAATCGATCCGCGACGTTACCGAGAAGTTAAAATGCCCTTCAATTTCAATGGCGAACGACCGAGACGTTGAGATCGTGCGCGATAATTTTATTCGTTGAAAAAAAAAAATCGGACCTTTTCTTGGTCTTTTTTTCTTCTTTTTTTTCTACGAATATAAATCTTTCGTCCAAAAAGAGAGAGATCGCTCTTCGAAAGCTCCGTAGTTAGGATAACTGCTGACCTGATCTCCGAATCGGACGGTACAGGGTCTTCGCGGCATCTTAAGTTCGTGCCCTCCGCGAAATGCACCCGTTGTCCTAGCTTCGGGGCCAGCTCGAGCAACCTACAATGCACACGAGAAACGCCCAGATGGTGGGTATACGGTCAGCACACGGGAGAAGCGTATATAAACGCCTACGAGATATCTTTTAGCCAAACTCTTTAGCCGTTCTCTCACCTTCTCGAGCGCACACGCTCCCGCGCTAAGGAACCGACCGGCACACGGATCGACACAGCTCAGTGTAAAGGAATTTGTTGCTGGATCGTCCCGAGGAGTGTTGTTTATTAGTTCGAAGTGTGATTCTTCACGGGCATTACGCTATTCGCTTATCTGTATGTGATTGTGTAAATGTATATATACTTATTATATGCAACATTTAGATTTCTGACGGTGTAAGGTAAGACTCGAATATCGGGTTCGAGTGAATTCTACGACTTCGTATATACGAACGTCGTTCGAACGTTTCCGCGGATGGAAACGTTCGAACAAATTACAAAATCTATAACGAATAAAAGCATTATAATTATCGCGTAAATTGTGGCGCACGGAGAGTCGCTTTATGTAGAATGTCACGGTCTTGTAATTATAAGTCGTAAGCCTTTTTCTTTCCCCTAAGCTAAAGAAGGCGAATCGCGTAACAGGCGAAATTTAATACCTTCGAAGAGGCTCTCAACGCGTTTCAGGTTGGTAGTTTCAAGTGTGAAAATTTAATGGGAGATTTTTAGCGTCTCGCAAACTTATATATTTACAATGTACTCAACGGCTAGCAAAGTCTTAATTACGTAATGGCCTCGAGGCCTTATAAAACAAGGAATGCGTCATTTCTGGATTGCAAGAAGCGCCGCGCGCGATGCGCGCATAAACGACATTCCATCGCAACGGAAGTAATTATTCTATAGATTAAGAGAGCTAACGATCCATATGGATCCGTATATGGATACGTGGTAACTCACGTGATTCTTATCACAATCACCTCCCCGGTCGTTGGTTCCGATATCAAGCAACAGCACGCGCATCTCAGCCAATCGTCGTACATCTTCGCGGCTGATCGGTTTCCCCGCGGTTTTCACCTAGCGCGCGCGCGACTGACACGAGGAAAGGAAGGAAGAAATATCGCGCGAAGAACAATTGTGACGCGACCACCTCACCTGTGGGGCTCTCCTCACTCTCCTGCTACCCGCTAATCTCTTTCGCAACTGTGAATTATGTCATGTCTACGTAATAACACTTTTGGTATGTCGCTTTTCCAGCAACGATCGTGTCACGCTCGCACACAAGCTGCTCCTGCTCCGAGACCGGCCGTCACCGTTGATGTCACTCGTATATCGTTCTTGCATTTCCGAACGAGACACAACCGCAGGCGTATTCATAACGTCCGGCACAAATTACCTTCTAATCGTGTCAGGCGTTATGACGCGTAATACCCGATTCCGAGTTGCAGACGACTGACACAATACTGTCGGTTTCGTAAGATGCACTGCATTTAATAATAAGTAACATATATTTTTCAAGATCACTTCTGCAATTAAACTACGTTACGTAGTGTGAACAAATAAAAGAAAATAGCAAGAATGAAACGTTTCTATCTTTTCTCATACTTAATACAGGTAGGTACAATAATTTAATGCGTTTTAATGAATTCTTTGAGAAAACTTGATATTTATTTTAATACCAGGATCTATAAATAGCTGCTTATAAATAGCTTTATAGTTCTTTAAAACCGGTTCTTATTTTTATTTTTGTCTAATTCTTGTTTTATAAACAAAGTTTAATATTAAAAATAAAATGTATAATCTACAGCTAATATAATTTAGCAATCTCTTGAAAGTAAACTTCCTCGAAAAAATCTTAAAGAAATATAAGAAAATCGTTATTAATAACACATCTATCGACGTTAACGATGATATTCTTGAAATCTCGCAAAAAAAATAATTTGTGGATTGCAGAAAAAACTGTCGTCGATATACAATATATTAACGTTAAAATAAAATTATATCAAAAATTTCGTTTTTCCTCTCGATATCTCTATTTAACATAAACATTAATACCTTTCAATATGACACATTAAGCAAATACTTTTTCCTCTTCCTCGCATGATCTAACTGTCGAATCTTCGGCCGATTTATTGTTCTTCCTCCGATATGCCTATTCTGGAGTTAATCACCGTGGGTGGCCTCATTGGCGGTGTTCTCGTACACGATAAATACACGTGATATCCGGGAGGGAACGGCACTCATAAACTTATTTATTGCTCGCGCAAATACAAAACGCGCGTCCGCGTCCGAAAACAATCGAGAGCAGATTACGGAGGTGGCCACGTCTGTTTCGCCTCCTTCGCGTTTTGCCACGTTTGTCCTTCCACGACGATGACAGTGAGAGCGAGAGCTACAGTCCCGCTCACGAACCGCATTGCGAACTCGTATGTACGAACGGGGCGTTTCTTCTGTCGCACGCGTCAGCTCTTAACTACAGATCGAAATCGGTCGGGGAAAATCGCAAATTACATTGGCGGCTGATGAATCAAGCTGTGGTCGACATTCGTTGGGGTTTTCCGGCTTCGTCTACAACTGATGCGTTAAATATCGTGTTTCCCGCGAGAAGCGTTGCTGCGATCGGCGTTAATGAACGACGCTGTATAAACGCGCGGCGGGCAAGCAACCAGTTCTTGTTTCTCATTCACGCGATTTTGATGTAGCAATAATAATGCAAAAGATTTTAATTCACAAAGAGGACCGGTTTCTTTTGGGGGTTACGTAACACCACGCTCGACGTCTCCGTCACCTTTATTTAAAGGGAACGTTCATTACGCCTCGGAGCAAAGAATCGCTCCGTAAGGAGAGCTCGCTTAAAGAAGAAGAACGTGACCCACCGTTCTTTAAATCAATAAAAACGTATCCGCGGAGAGAGAGATAGAGAAAGAGTTATTTATAGCTGCGGAAACTACTCGGAAACAGATATATCTTTGTCACGGCATAAAGGATTATATGAAGTAGCGAAATATGATCTTCTTGCTCGTTCGTTCCTTTTGTACCGCGCCGCTCGTACAATTTTTAGAATTACAGTTCATGCGCCGAAACGAATATGTCACTTTTATACGCGTGTAAAAAGTAAATTACGTCATGAAACATTCGCTATCCTCACCCTTCTTCGATCCTGTCATCCTTCTCCTCCTCGCATCTCCCCGCCGCCTGTTTGCTCTCCTCCTCCTCCCCCGCCATATCTTCGCGTACAGAATAAATCCAATTACGAAACTCCGGAAATTAAACGAAAGAACGACGAGAGACCTTCCTCGACGTACACTCTGTCGGCGTAGCGACAGAGAAACGTCACTCGATCAAGTCCTGCGATTCCATCATTCGATCCCTCATGACTGACTTCGCGAAGCAACTTACTCAGGGAATGTGTTGTCAGGAACTTTTTACGGCTTCTGAAGACTCGCAAAGTCGCAATTCTATTTTCCATAATGCCATAATAGCATTATCGCTTATCCATATACGCGCGCATATTAACGTCACGCGTGTGCGCGACGAAAAGTAGTAATGGTAAAAAAACACAAGCGAGGAAATCTGAATGTAATTTGTGAAAGATATAATTAGATTATTTTTAATATACATTATACACTTTCGAGAATGCGATTACATTGTGTTATGATACATTGTATCACTCAAGTTTAATCCAATTCCGTCATATATTATGGTGGACCAGAATTCGAACAGGTATTAATCAGTTTAAATCATTTCTATGCAGTGCTGCTATTGTTGAGTGCCACAGTCTTGTTTTTCCTCTATCTACTTATTCAACTTAAGAATCATAGATAGTGCTAAAACATAAAAATTATTTCTAGGACAAGGACTAATTGCAAGTATAGAATATAAAGTAAAATGTAAAGTTTTTATTTAACCTTGTTTCTTTCGTGGGGAAAAAAAATTCTATCTCGATGCTAAATTCGATTTATACACACACATTTTATATACATGTATACATATATATATATATATATATATATATATATATATATATATATCATTTACAACACGCCAGGCTCGGTCTATTCTCCGCTGCAGCTTATTCAAATTGACAACTCGATTGCGAACGGAAACGCTGTACCGAATCTCTCGCTGTGTGCCAAATCTCGCTGCAATCGTACTTATATTTCCGCGCTTTCTCAAACTCAGCCGCGCGTTTCAGCCCGTGGCCTTCGAGTAGAGGGCCGATTGGGATCGTATCGATCTCTTCCCCAGGGAACGTCGATTATTGCTTACCTCATTGAGAAAAGCGGCTCTCTTGTAGCGGCGGGCCGCGGTCACCACGCCGGCGTTTCTCCGTTTTCCGTCTTCGTGGTCGACATAGTTCCGTCCGCATAGATGAGGGATCACGTAACGCGATCGCCTCCACCGTCCTGCGATCGAGCGGTACGTTCTCGCGAAAACGCGAGCGACGCGTCAGTTACGAACACTTGCATAGTCGCGCGATGCACGACGTCACGGATCCGTCACGACGACCAGCCGGGAGGGCAATTCGATCGTTCGTGATAATCGTCAGGTGAACGAGCACGTGCGCCGATTGCTCGCGCCAACGCGCGCTCGCATTTTATTCCGAGCAATTGCTCGCATTGATAACGATCGTGTTGATGATCTACGTCGACACTCGGCGATAACGCAAATTTGTTAACGGAATCGGATAATGGCTCGTAATCGGAGCGCAATTATGATATGCACGGTACAAAATTAGGTCTGTTCTTTGATAACTTCAATCACTCCGGGGGGCAATCGAGATTGACCACTTATTCACTTATTCATTGATACCCTCGTTTGAAACTTGAAATGCTCCACATCTGCCAGATACGCAACCGGTTCGACCGGTAATCGGAACCACTTTTTGAACAAACTTCATGAGGCCGCAGTGCACTTCGATGCAGACGAGTGTGTCGCCGACGATTTGACGATTTGTTCTTAGGACAAAGTCAATATATATATGTAATCTCGTCGAGACACGTAAAAGTGCGAAATCGTTGGAGCGGAACGACTATCCCGCCGTCTAATCGCGATCGGTTCGACTTAACAGGATCTCGACAGACCGTTCTCCGTTCGCGGAAAAACTCTCGGTGGAAAAATTCTCGACGGCACTACATAACGTTAGCACCTCTGTGCGGTTGACGCTTGACGCGATGACTCTCTCAGTTAACACTACTTTGTCGAAACACTCTATACGCGAGGCAACGCCGCGCCGAAGATTGACCGTCCCGTTATACCCCGACCGGTGATCAGGTGACCGTGAAACTTCGCGAGACCACGGCTAGACAAACGCTTCCGGCAATATACTGCTCGCGGGAGGACCGTTCTCCAGACGTAGGACCGCGTAGGAGACGGAGAGATCCCGAGGAGGACTCGCTCGCGGCGGTCTGCCATTATAAATAGTTGTGACCGAGACGGCTAGAGGCTCGCGACCAAGTGTAACGGACGTGGAAAGAGGGACCAGACGAAGGAAGAGGACGGCGGTCAAGCTAGAAGGAAATGGAGATATGCGCATCGGGCGCTAGCGATGGCTTCGAGCGACCGTCGAGCGACTTAATCGTTGTACGAACTTAGGGAAACGCTAAACGAGGCTAAACGGATTTAAAAACCGAGACCAAAATGGCCGAGGAAAAATGTGCGAATATATTACATTGATCGAACGTTCCTATATCTCTTCGCTTCTGAACCTTGGGCGGGGTCATTCTTTTCGATTTTGCCTTCGTTTTTTAAAAAGTTTGAACTTGTCTTTCTCACAAATCGTCGCACGTCCCTCGCCCTCTTCTCTACCTTTTCTTTTTCCGGAAGAAAACTTCTCAAAAGTAACGGATCGTTAGTGTTGCGTGACGACTGAATATATTTCCTGACTGCCGCTTAGTCCCTCCGCTGCCGCTACTTGAGCAGTCTTAGCAGCGCCGGACGAGTGAGCAATTAATCACCGGGCAGGAACGGGCACGGATCAGCTCTATCGCTAATCGCGTCACTCCGCCTCGTCCCGTTCTCGTGCCATTGTTCTCATCCGCGTTGCCGCTTGCAATTCTAATCGCGGCGGATCGTCGCGTCGCCGCCGCGCGCGACGTCCGCTCGGCGACGAGTGCTCGCACTCCTGAGGCCGTCGCGCGAGCCCGCGCGCAAGAATCTATTTCCGATGACGGCATCTTTCCTTTTTTTCTGGCACCGCGCTTTGGCTCCTTCTTCGCGCGTCGCCGCTATTTCCGAGGAACTATTTCTCGCACTTCTCACGCGAATCTCACGGCTTGACGGGACTTCTCGAACCGTTTGTCCCAAAGGTACAATGCAGCAGAATCAGATATCGAGAAACTTAAACTCGACCTGTGCAATTTTAGACAGATTGCATTTTAAAATTAAAAATTCATAATGTATTTGAAATCCAAAAATTTTTTTAATTTTCCAAATCAAAATGTCAAATTTCTTATTAAAACTGCTGCCAAAACAATTTAACTTTCGCACGCAAACGGTTCGTCAAAATTTACGTAAAAATGAGAAAAATTTATTAACTCGTATCGATGGTGTATAGTACAGATGCGGCGAGTCCGGGTTTATCGAACTTTAAGCCTACGTTCCGTTAGATAATGACAGAAGCATCGGTGTTTTTGCGTAACAGCTATTGTCAACATCACACTGCTACTCGGCGAAATGACTGAGTAGGTTTGCAATGGGATACTTAACTCACTCTCAAAACTTCCTTCTGTCGAGACCGCACTCGACACGAGTGTGTGCTTTATCATCAGCGTATCCATTACGTCGTCGGCAAAATGCTCCTGTATCTTGTCTCGATAAGCAAAACCGCAAGCGAATCAGTGCTTCCGTATAGCCAAGGGCAACACGTCAGTTTTACGATAAGACCTATCGCGGGAAGCGTGTATGGCGTAATAACGTATGCAGAATGTTTCGCTTAGAGCTTTGAAATCGAACATCCATGTCAGAGATAAAGATAGACTGCATGAGATAGATGCAGAGAAAAGTACTATAGCTTTGAGAGTGTTACATTAAAAAAACTGTTTCTTTTTCTGAATAAACGCTTTTACTTTACTTAATATATTTAAAAAAAATTTTTTTCTTCTAAGGATACCGCAGGATGACTGTAGAACAAGATAGCATAAATAAACTTTTCAAAGAATGACGGGCTTTATATGATAAATCGTTTTATTTTAATAATTTGTGTGCCTGCGTTTGTACAGTATAATAATAATAATAGTAATAATAATAGTAGAGAAGTAGTAGTAGCAATAGTAACAATAGGAGTAGTAGTAGTTTAATAATAGATAATAGTAGAGTAGCAGTAGCGGCCGTACAAGTGACAGTAGTAGAATGTGTGGTTTACTACAGAAGCAGCATCCGTCGTCCGTCTCGTCCACCTCGACGTTCTTCGTATCTCGAAGTTGAGGAGTCCGCGACGGTTTTTACGGAAGTAGATGGAAGATCGTCGACGTTGTAGGCATATCTACCGACTTGGCCACTGACTACGCTCGATCTTTGTTCGAAAAGTGTTAACGAGACTGTGCAACGATTATTTTTTGAAACTTTTGAGATACGCTTTTCCTTAACATCCGTATAGATGCGCCGAAGCGACGCCGGAGGATTTATTCCTCCTCTTCCTCCTCCTCCTCTTCCTCCTCCTCTTCTTCCTCCTCCTCCTCCTCCTCCTCTTCCTCCTCCTCCTCCTCTTCCTCCTCACCTTCCTCCTTGACCTCCTCCTCCTCCTCTTCGTCGAACTGCGGCTCCTCGAGGTCGTCGTCGACGGCAGCCTTCACGTCCTCCTCGCCCTCTGGTGATTCGGGATCGCCCGCCTTCTTGCCCGGTCGCTCACCGAACCACTTAGGTAACTTCGCTATTATCCATGGAAAGTGACGGATTAATTTTGCACAATTAGGGGAAGAACGTGAAATGCGCTAATTGTTAAACGTACCGGATTAGAATTCCACGAGATAACGGCAAAAACAAGCGCGGAGGAACTTTCGGATGGATATCCGAGATATTAATTAAAGCAAATTAACGTCTTATCGTTTCGAAATAAATTTATACTGATTTTGCATAACTCTAATAATGTCAAGTACGTCGGCTATCATTATATTTATTAGAGAAAAATATGATTTTTCCTGAATTTTTCTCCGTAATTACGTTCGTTACTCGACGTTTCGAGGAGCACCGAAAGCTTTTTTAAAGCTCTTGATTTCCTCCGGTGCCAGCTCGAAGCCTCGAAAGCGGAGTTCATACGTACTCTTCTGACGACCCATGAACTGTTGCTTCTGTTCGGCCCACTGCTTCTCCATGGTCTCCTTCAGCTGTTCAGTCAGACCCTGAAACATCAACGGACAGAATGGCATGCTAGGGGTTACTCTCACACATCGGGACCTTTCGCCTGGGAAAAAAACCCTCTCTATCCGTACTGTTGCTTTCTCTGGGCCGTACAAGTCTCTCCGTGGCGAAGTTATAGGGCTGACAGTCACGGTTGACAGAATTATAACGTCACAAAGGTCATCTATTTTCACGATTGTATATAATCGTACTTCCAGTTCTGGGTTGCGATCTCCGATGCTCCGCTTCTGACATTTAACGAATGAATTCTCGAATTTCGCGTGGGAAACGAGGATAAGTCATCAAACATCCGCTCTTAACTCGTCGAGGGGGAAAGTACCGAGGAACTTGTGATTTCAGAGAGAGAACGTGAGGTGGGAACGTGGACAAATTTGCAGACGCCGACAGAGTTATTAAAGAGCGAGATTATTTTCGTGATTGGTGACTGCTGTCGCAATCTCTCGTGGGCAGTGCACGTGAATAAAAAAAAGAAATCGCCATCGATGTGTGAGCACAAATAAAAATATGGTATACGGCGCTTTTGCGTATACCATCGAATCAATTAACACGAACACAGCAATATGTACGTGGCTGGGCAGCCATCTCGACCGTTTAGTCAACGAGAACACGGAACAAGTATACATAAATTAGAAACACGGTCGTCCGTGAGGAGATACAATCAACAAGGCAAGCAAGGTGGGGCAAGTGGGTGACAGTGACAGAGAGAGATCACGGTTGAACTCACTTTTGGTGCGCTTCATAAATTGTTCTGTTTTCTGTTTCCACGTTTTCTCGTTGATCTCCGCTAAGAGCGTGTCATAGCCCTACGATTCAATCGACAATATGCTCACTAATCGATATTCTTACATACAAATTATGTGCATTTCCTACCATGTCCGATAGTTTATTTGTGAATTATGTAACGGGAACGAATTCCTACTTTTGTATACGTGTATATATGTGGCGTCTTCATGGTGATTTATATCTGACTGTCCGAATGTAAAAAAAGTTCACGTGTCGCAAAGTGAGAGAATTCTGGATTTGATTTCGTATTCTGAGAGTAGGGAGTAGACCGTCGAATAAATCTTAATGTATTGAATAAGTTAGGAAGTATACTTACGCCCTCGAAAAGTTTCTTCTTGTCGTCGTAGGACCTGGTATCGACGCGACGCTCGTACTTGGAGGCGACTTGGATTTTCGGCTGTGAACAAGCGACTCGATTTAATGACAATTTCTTCCTGTTTACTTTTTCTTTATCTGACATATAGACATTACGTACGGGATATTTGCCAGTTAACGCCTCGGGATCGAGACCCTTCTTCAAGGCTTTGTGCCTCAGTTGTTGCTTCTGACGTTCCTTCAGCTCTTTAAGCTACGATAAAAGGGCAATATCGATTTATCAATACAGCTGGAAAACAACATGGACTATAATTAAACTCGTGTCCGAGTAACTTATTTCCCAAGCGGAAATGGTCAATGTATACTTCTTTTTCTTCCTTTCTATTTTTATGAGACCCATACGTTATAAAATTATTATACGCGCGTATAAATAAATCTGCCCTTACGTAATCTTTTATTCGTTAAAGCTGTCGCTCTTGTACCATTAAAAATTTTGTAAAATCTTGCATAACAAACAAGAAGTCTTATTTCGTATAGTGACAATTTAAATTTTTTATTAAGAACGCGATAAATTTATATTCTCCAAATAAAGCAAAATAATTTTTAGTATTTTTATAGTAAAAACTCACATCGTAGTCCTGACGCTTTTGTCGCTCCTCCAGATCGTACTTTTCGGTTTCAAGTTTGACTATGGCCTCCCACAATTCGGTAGCCTTAGTACGGAGCTTTTCAATGGCCAGACCTTCGATTTCCAAGGGCTTGATGCGAATGCTAAGGGAGATCTTCTTTTCCTCCTCGAGCTGCTCTTTCGTCTTGTTACGCTCAAGTTGTGCCGATGTAAGATTACCCTAAATTCACATGAGCGAATTCCCAGTTAGAAAAAGTTATAGTCCAATTGCTGCTGACAATAGAGAGAGAGAGAGAAAGAGAGAGAGAGAGAGAGAGAGAGAGAGAGAGAGAAATGAAAAAGTATTCACCGAAAGATCCTTCTTCTGGATAGTAAAGTTTGGACCTTTTGCTTTGCTCTGATCTTTCATTGCTTGCATCATAGCCTGTCGCTTTTTTTCCGATTCCTCCAGACGCCTAAAATGTAGCAAGTAAATATAAAACAATGCGCAAATATACGAATATAAATTTTCTAACTGCAGCATTTTCCCAATTTGATGGAAATATGATTTTTAAGAAAAAAAAATATAAAACTATAGATTCTAATCGATTCCAATAGTTATGTAATTATTAGTAATTAATTTTATTAATGCCTAATAAATTTATACAAGTTCAATATTAATTCAATATCCAGAGAAAACAAATCGAAACATAAATTATGTATAATTGACAATTATTCAATTTCGAAGTCATTCATTGTTCGGTAGATGAAGGGAAAATCAATTAGGGAGTCACAGAGTTATAAAGTGCATAAAATATTTACATCGCAAATAACGATTTATATAACAAGAATAGCA